TCTTGAGAGCAGTTCTTATGATATCATCATTGTGTCTTCTCTTATTTCCGTTTTCGGGTTCATCTCTAATATGTTCTTGTACAATAAATCTTGTTTTCCCTCTAAATGAAGATTGCAAAGACGATAGCAGATGTTACTCGATTACAATTGAAATAATTGGTTTTTAGATGGCGAATAACTTTTTTCATTAAAGGTATAGTTTGTACTTTTTTTTCTACGACGTCTTGTCGCTAAGATGGATGATTTTTAACTTCTTGGAAAAAGAATTGATTAAAGAATTCGATAGCAGTTTTATTATACCACAACACACAAAATATTTTGGAAAAAACTCGCATGACAACCAGCTGAACTGACAATATGGTCCATTTTCACTAAAGCAGACTGTATTATGACGTMTGTGTTGCCATGGAAATCCATTTTGTGATGTATAAACAGAAAGGATCTTGAAATCTTTTGATTGAAAATTGAAGACTTAGAGAGTGCATGGCATTACTGCTTGAGTTGAAAGTGTGAAAAACAGAATAAAAGCCAAAACGGTAATTGTTGGGTATTTTTATTATATAAGGTGATAATAAAGAGGTCAATGATTCCAATGTGTACCTCTTATCAGTTTTTTTCTCTTAGGCAATACTATGAAATGAATTTCTACCTTCATGTCTTTTGACCTCGTGTAATATAATGTACGATTTCGCATCTCTTCATAATTTCGAATCATAAACCCTTTTTTCATAATAATTCAAAATAATTAGCTGTTGCGGAAGAAAAGTTCTTCCATAAGCCGCGATGCGTTTCCTAGAAACGCTTTTTTGATAAATAATGTTTCACACCGTCGTACAAACAAAGGCCTGCGGGGCTTTGACTTCGATGCAACTCGAGGTAAATTGTTTGCTTAACAGCTACAGAACTTTCTTGAGAGTCGCTGTCTAATGACCGATGAAAGTCAAGAATATGATATAAAAATTTGGGGATATTGCTTCAAATGTTATTGAAAAAARTATTGTTAGGTTCTTAGTGACAGGTGATCGGCAGCCAATCACAATCGTTGATTTCTTAGACGTAATGCAAATAGAAGTAGTTAAGAAATGAATCTTTGATGTGGTTTAATTCATCATGTTCAAGAAAAGAATAACTGCGTACGACATTTTAAGTCAAAAGACCTCATAGAATCAAGAAAAACGACCGAGAAATTTTACTCAAAGGGATAGTCAACCAGAAACTTGCAYCTTAAAGGTTGGTTTTTCACTTTTTGAGGCGATTTCACAGASTGAAGCCTTCATCGAGAAACGCAAACTAAAATTGACGCTGACTAGTTAGGTTGGATGGATTTCAACTTAATTCAGTGACATATAACTGGCGATTTAATGAAACATTGATTAACGAAATAATACCTGGGCTTCSTCMAAATCTGTTCGTAAAGAATTCAAGWCAATTTTTCACGAAAAAAGCGTCTTAGGCAAGAACTTTGATCGAAGTCTGTGCGAGTGTTTACTCACGTCGGTGGCGAATATGTGCAAGTAATCGACTTTTTATATTGGTTGGCTACTTGAACTTGAGCTGTATAATTACTGGACTTATAAAAAAGGGAAAGGCGCTTTCGGGAAGCTTTTGCATGTATTTGCTTTATTGAAATGGGTTGCGGAGGCTCAAGAAATACCGTAACTACAGATCTTAAAATTTCAAACTCGGAGCCAGTTAGCCTGAAGGAACAATTGGCTAAAAAGACAGAGCAAAAACTATGGAAACAAACAAGCTTGGAGACAAGATTACTGCAGCCGAGTGGTAAGAACATAAGTCCTTTTTTAGTMCCAAGAAGCCCWGGWGACACCAAAGGTTTTAAAGTTGGAGACAGGGTACATTTGCGCGGTTATGTTGGTACCGTCAAATTTATTGGAGCTACAGAGCTGGGACAAGGTGACTGGATTGGTATTGAAATGGACAAAGAGATAGAGCAAGGACACAACGGTAGTTATGATGGGATACAGTATTTCATTGCTGGTCCAAAGAGAGGTGTCTTTGCGCGCTCTGCTCTAGTGTTTCATCTCGATGAATCAGACGAAAAGAACATGGAAAGATCGTTCACGATCTCCCCGCGAACAGTAGCGTTGATCCAGTCAAGGATCCGTCGGTATCTCAAACAAATTCAAAACAAAAAAACGCAATTAACTTCGGATGTCGACAAAAGAATTGATCGTCATGTCCGCAGCGTCCCAGAAATAGAGACATCGAGTATTAACAGACTGAGTGATTATCTCACRGAGCCTTTTGAAGGCGGACAAAGAAGCAAAGCGTTTGCTATTTATCGCTGGATTACTCTAAATATTTCCTTTGACTATAAGGGGTGTTTTGGTTATGAMGCTCCAATGCCTTGTGGTGCAGAAGATGTATTGCAAAATCGCGTCACTGCATCGGAAGGTTACGCAAACCTTTTTGAAGCTCTGTGCAACGCAGCGCACGTCCCCACTCGAACCGTTCGTGGAATTTTCAAAGGCTATGGTTACACACTCGGCGAGCCTATACTCGAGGGTCAGTGTAGACACGCGTGGAACGTGGTACGAGTGAGTGGTGATTGGTTCATCTGTGATTGCACACTTGGTGCTGGCTATGTTGGTGAGGATATGATGTTCCACAAATTACCAAACATCGATCGCTTTATGGTWTCAGCACAACTCGCCATTACCGACCACTATCCGGACGAACAGAAATGGCAACTACTTGACGAGACGATCAGCAAAGAAGAATTTGAATTAAARGCTGTACCTTCCGCCATGWTGCATCGTCTTAATGTGCAGTTAGATAGCCATACTAAATGCTTCTATGAACTCGATGCCGACAACATTACCATGACTTTTCAAACACCAAAGAAGAAYATTTTGAAAGGTATTGTCAAAGAYTCCAATGGGAAATCCCTAGGCCAACGTAGCCTTGTACAAGCTGTCTCTATCGGGGGRAAGACCAAGCTACAAGCATATTTCCCAGAACCTGGAGAATATATTCTCCAAGTGCTTGTTCTTGGCGTGAACTATGAATGGACATCGGGTGTCATGTACAAAATCCACACATCGGACGGGATTGGGTATAACACCGGTGGCTTCCCAAGTATTGGGACGAAGTTTTACCCTCTTGGTTTTGAGATCGAAAAACCAACACAGAACATTGAATGTGATGATGGTAAGGCAGTGATCTATTTCAGCACAACTAATAACAGAGTACGGACATTAAGACCAAAGCTGTCACGTCTATCAATAATATSTGGAACTGAAGACCTACAAGAAGATGTCCAAGACTCGAGCATGTGCTACGTCGATCAATCAGGAGTTGTTTTCAAAGTGAAGGTTCACGTCCCTCAAATGGGAATATACAAACTAGACATTTATTGTGAACTGAGAAGACARGTAGAGTACTTGTGTTCATACTTCATCAATGCCTATCATGGTGCAAGGCCTGTGCCTGGCTTCCCTAAAGTCACCGAAACCTTTCGGTCCTGGTCTATTCAACTAGTAGACAAGCGAGAAAACATAGAGACACAGGATGGTGYGACGTCGGTAACTCTGAAAAACCCCAATGAAGTAAACATTGTTGGTGTTTTAAGAAAAAACGAAGAGGAATGCGAGGGTATGTGCTTCACGGAACCGACCCARAAAGGCGAGACAACAATTAAAGTTCACATGCCAGAACCTGGGATATTTCGATTGGAAATTTATGGCTTTAGAGAAGATGATAAAACCAAGCAACTTCTTTGTTCCTATGCTATCAAGTCACTAGCAACTGCAAATGAAAACCCTGGATTTCCTCTTCTAGAGGAAGAGTTTAAATCATGGGGAGTGTCCTTAGTGKATCCCGTCGARAATATAACATCAAAGAACGGGCAAGCTACAGTAGTACTTCASGCCCCTAATGATGTGGAAATTGTCGGAAAACTTTTCGACGAAGAGGAMAAGAAYATCCCWGGKATGTGCATCGCAAARGATACAGAAAATGGACGTGAAATCAGTATGAACACTCCACAACCCGGTGTGTTCAAACTCTGYGTGTACGGACGTAAGCGAACCAGCAAGAAATCAAAGAAAGAACCAAAGAATGTTTTGCTGTGTTCCTATAAGGTCAAGTCGCACAGTGCAGCATCTGAAAACCCTGGATTTCCTGAGCTTACTGAGACATTTACTGCTTGGAATTTAAAACTTGTCGACCAATTTGACAATATATCTACGGAGACGGGGCGAGTAACGGTCACTATCAATACACCTGGAAGTGTACTTCTTTCTGCTAAACTGCGTCAAAACGAACAGGACCTATCACCTGACTTGTGCTTCACGGAGCGCAATGGCAGTGATACTAAGCTATCGTTCCACGTCCCAGAAGCTGGGTTATATGAACTTCGAATTTCAGGCCGCGAATCACCGGATTCTAAATCGAAGTTCTTGGCGTCATATTCCGTGTTCAGTTGTAGGGGCCTTGGTGAAAGGGCGGGCTTTCCACATATCGAGGACGAGTTTCGTCTGTGGGGTCTTCGTTTAGATAGCAATAAAGAGAACATCGCTGTTTATGATGGCTCTGTAATCATCACCTTCTTGAACCCCAATAAAATCCCACTTWGTGCTGAATTGTCAAATGAAGAAGGGGAGATCACCGATGTAGTAGCATTAGATGAAATGGAAGAAAGAGTAGTTTATCACTGYAATTTACCCAACAAAGGCAAGTACACTTTTAAATTGCTCGGTTCAAACAACGTCGAAGGTAAAAAGAAGAAGAAAAAGGCGGACAAGAAGAAAGTGTTGTGCACCTACAAGATATTTTATTGACAAAACACTCAGCTAACTGGCTCCATAGAGACCACAGGAGTTTCTTTATAATCTTCGCGTTCCGTGCGTGTTAACAATCAGGAGGAAATTCCTCTTTAAATAATGTTGACAAAGTGATCAAAAAAAAAAAAAAAAAATTCACTGTTCAAATTCATTAAGAATACACACGCGTTTGAAAAAGTAGAAACAACGACAACGATAGATTGATATATACAAAACTTTATTTATATTTGTAAAAAGAAATAATTTTAGGAACACCTAGAAAGGTTAATAATAACTGACGATTATTTGTACATAAATAAAACGCAGCAGTTATATTCTTGCATCATTTACACCGGCATATTTACGTAGCAATTCCTTCCCTAACATGTTACGGGKAACAATTACTCAGCGGGCTGCTCTGACGAAGCTTCTTCGGAAATCTGAAATAAAACGGCAAAATATAAATGCAAATTTCGGGCATTTCGCAACAGCGGAAAAAAGCCTTGATAAAGTCATTAGTAAAAAAGAGGCATTAGAAGGGGAGATAGATAGGGTAAAAGAGGATTTTGTTTGCTTTCTTTTATGCAATGATTAAAATAATGTATCAAAGGAAAATTGCGCCGACAGGGTTTAAATGTGATATTATTTAATAATTCAACGGCATTAAATGACAAGCTATCATTTGTAATTTTACACGATTCTCATCATTTTTAGGGTTCACGATTAATAATTGATGGTTCTAATACTTGTTTTGATGCTTTGCACTAATGGTAAATACGGTTAATGAAACAATCTTCACAGCAGTGCAACTAAAATGCACTCTAGAAAGAACTTCAAGAGATTTCATCGAAAAGTAAAAATATATCGTAAAACAAACAAAGGGGGTYAACAAAACTGACAACTTGTCAGGGTTTTGTTTGCTAAGAGCAAGTGACAATGTCATTCAGCCAACAAAATGCGATTCCATCCAAGAGAATACATAAGAATATMCGTGTGAGAATGCTTTTAATCAATTCCCTTTTAAGTTGTGCGATAATCTCCTCCCATATCAGTCCTTTRTTCAAGGTTAATCATATGAAAAAATGGTGTTGAGTACAGCTTGTTTGCCGCATTTAATATCCTTCAAAGTTATGTTTATTTATGTAAAGCTCTTTTCATGAACCAATTAGGGGTAAATATTATGAAACACACGCCATAGGGAAACTACAATGTTTCAAAAACACGAACGTTGTCATAGAAACGAGTTTATAAATATTCACACCAGCGCCTCAAATAGAGTGTCTGAATGTTGGCCAAAAGCAATTTACAGTGTGTAGAAAACTGCCATAAAAACGTGACTAAGACTGTGAAAAAAATGTGTCTTATGAGGAGACGTCAAAAAGCAGCGAGATTTTAATGTATATACAAATACCAAATAAGGCATAAACATCGACTTATAAAATAGGAAACACATGGGCCACCTTTGTGTAGAATTTGTTATTTGAAAACCATATCTGTAAAAACATCCGTCAAAAAGGCTAACTTTCAATAGCATTAGGAAGCAAGAGATGCTAATAGAGCGGCTTTTTAAGCCTCACTTTCTTTATATAACTATTTTAGTGAAAATAAAAGGAAAATGAGAGCGTGGGAGGATGAATTACAATCACAAGAAATACCAATGGCCAATCTGCACGAAMTGAAAAATCTCTTTATCCCAGAGTCCGAGAGGGATTTTTAATACTAAGTGGGGATTTTCCTATCTGAATTTAGCCACCGATCATTTCGTTCATTATTTTTCGGATACAATTTAAACATTGCAGTAAATACATACAGTAAACACACTGATTCACTCGTCACGTGCACAAGACCATGTCCAAACGATGCCGCGAATCTTTTTTAATGTTAATATTCGTAGCGTTTTCGTACCGTTGTCGAACATCTTGGGATACGTGTTGCTCCAACCAGTAAAAGTAAAAAWATATATTGTKGATWTATTTATATTAWTRTTTTTTGGTATCATGTGRRYAARGAATGCAGGGCGTTATCAACGCACRCAATTGACGTAAACGAGAAGTTTAGTTTCTCTTTGTTTCTGTAAAGTATACATCCTCCAGAACCCAGGCACAATCTCTGTCGTTCGTTCCGTGTGTGGAAGTGAGGAAAGAACGGCAAAAGATTACGCCTGGGTTCCTGAGGATGTATATCATACTAATTGAGCAAAAAATTAAGGGGAGATGACAGAGCCTAAAGGGGTCTGATTGATACCTCTTTTTGTTCTGGTTCACCATTTTCTTGATATTCTTCATGTGTTGTGCCTTCCTGGGCGATTCCTTTCTTCACCTCGGAGATGGCTGCCTCTCKTTTGGCCTCGGCTTCCTCACGAGCTTTTTTCTCTGTTTCTACAATCGAGAAAAAGTCTTTTTCTGCTTTAGCAACCATGTCTTCTTCTTCGTCGTCTTCTGGTTTCTCCTCATGCTCCCTGAAGTCAAAGCAAGATTTTCGTTACTTAGATACAGGGTCAATTTCCAGGAAGGAGGGAGATCTTTACAAAGGATTAGGTTTGCATAACGCTGTTAAACAATGAATTCTAACGTTAAATAGTGAAACAAAAGTTTTTCAAACATTATCTCCCTAGCCAAGGTCAATAAATTAAATTACTTACTTGTCCTGGGAGCTTTTGGAGCGCTCTTTCAGTCTCATTTCTCGGTGTCTTGTCTCTAGAATTTTTTCCCGTTTGGTTTCTCGCTCAAACATCTTAATAAAAACATACTAAAAATCAGTCATCGATTTGTAAAATGATAACAAAATATATTAGACGTACCGCGTTTACGGAGGATTTCTCGTTACGCTGAATGTTACTTAAATCATCAGATAACTCAAGAAGGGTGACAGTACCAGAATGAGAACCACAGGCAACCAATCTACCATGATCCTGGACTCGGATGGAATTCAACGATTCATCACATACCTATTGATCAGATTAGACTATTAGACCACAACCTACACTTATTGTTCCTGTAATATAATATATGGTACCTGTATAGTAAGTGTTGGTTCATTCTGTTTAAACAGATAGTCCCATACATCTAATGTACCATTCATTTTTGTGGTAAAGAACACTGCTGGTCTTGTTGGACTCCAGCAGCCATCAGTCATGTATGACATGTCTTGCCTTGGGAAAAAAGTGTTAAGTGTTAGAATGTTTGGAGTGAAGTGATCCATTCATCTCCTGTTTAGTAACCTTAAATAATGCTTCCAAACTGGCAAAGTTAAAAAAAGTATGGCATTTGAATACAAAATGTTACTCCACTATTATTTCACTCATTACTGACTAATAGACTGTATGCAATGTAACAATTCTGTACGATCACAATAAAGCGAATCTTGAATCTTGCTTTTCAATGGACATGGTTTTTTATCCCTGATCAATGTATTTTCACTTACTTGGTCCACATAATAGAGGATTCTCTCAAGTCTTCTGACCAAATCTATAATCAAAAACATGATTAGTAGGATATAATGGTATAATGGTTGATATTATATATAACAACATACCCTTGCTGTCCAGTCTCCAATTGTTAGGAAATTTTTAGGGAAGAAAGGATTTCGCTGGAAACAAAAAAAAATATTTTATTCAATATAAAATATGAGTTGAAAGCAATTCCTTGTCTTGGAGTAATATATAAAAGGAGATTTATTACAAACCTGGACAGCATATACCGGTCCATAATGCTGGGAGTATGTYGCCACTATCTTCTCTGATGGTGACTTAGCTTTACGGTTGCATGACAGCACTGAGCCTTGCTCTGTCCCAACCATGAACTTTGTTGGCATGGTAACCTCATACTCTAGAGCGACCCCACCAAGTGTACGYGAATCTTTCTTATTTGGACAGAGTGCAAGTGTTTCTGTTGGTTCTCCWAGCTTGCGGATATCCCACCATAGTACCTGGCCATCAGTACTTGTAGAGAAACACTCTGTACCAGTCTTGGACTGAAGAAACAGAGTCTTGTAAAGAGGATCWCGGTGACTTTTTTCTATCTTGGTCATTTCAACTGGATGGGAACCTTTTCTAGTGTCCCAGAATCCTACAGGTGCAAATATAGGTATATAATACATATAACCAAAAAGCAGGAAGAAAGGTAGGAGGATTAATGAATGGTTTGCTTAGTGAATGAATGAATGTTGAATAAATAAAATATAATGATCGAACTTCAAAAAATGGAAAACTTTCTGAATGCATGGTGAGTGAATGATAGAGTTTCCCTCTATCAACTATGAATAAAGGGCATTACCAAGTATGAGAATGGGATGAATAAAGATTCCTACATGTACATACCAAGTTGGCCATTATAGCAGCCACCCACAAGGATATGCGGATCTTTAGGGTTGTACTCCAAGCAGACAAGCGGAGATACAGGTTTCAGAGCTAGCTCTGGTTTGTTGGGGTTTTCTGAAAGAGTTATCAATAGTTTATATTCAGCATTGCAATCACAAACACTGTCRGTTGAAATACCATTTGAAATAGCTATTATAATGAGAAATGACTAATAATATTTTGCACTCACCAATATCCCAAATATAGGAATCCATACACATGTCCCCTGAGGACTTCTGGAACTCYAGTATAGAGTAGGACACTGCAAGTTTCTGTGTTCCATCAGGATACCAGGATAAACTTGTTGCTGTTCTTTTCATGTCATTAGGGTCTCTGGATATATATTTCAAAGTCACATTAATGCACATTCTTGGCTAATATTTCCTATAACCTTAGCATTTCATATTTGTTTCCCAAATTGTYATTTGAGAGTATAAACAATCAGAGATTTATTCTACCTGAAAACATTGATAGTCTTTGCAGATGGTGGCTCTCCAGTCGTATCAACCTCAACTTCAGCAAAGTACTCCTCATAAATATCTATAGCATTGTTCTGTTTTATGCAGTGTTCCATTATCTGATAAAAAAAAAACATTGCAATGATTCAGTCTAATTGTAAGCTTCTTGTTTTAGTTCCATCTGCCTATAAGATATCTATAAAAGTAAGTTTTATACAAGATAGAAATCTATGCATTCTTCCACATACACCGTTAATAAATAATACTTACATTCCCAAGCTGTTGAATAGTATTCATATAAACTTCTTCTTTTTCRACTTTCTTTCTGTATCTGATGGTTTGTTCAACTTCAGCAGGGTTAACATCCTTTGGCCATCCTCCTTCAACATGATTAATCCCTCTCACATCTGTCTCAAATCTTTCTGTATTTACCTGGAATATACATTAATATAAAATAAAACCTATTACTGTAAGGGCAGATCTGGGAAGAGGTTGCAGAGGGTGTTTACCCCATCCTTCCTTAGGAGAATGCTGCATCTAACATTAGTTGACTGAGGTATATGATATTTTTAATGATGCTTCCTTACTTCATGCTCTGACATCTCTTGCACACACTGAATACCAGTGTCACATGGGTTTTTCTCGATGTAATCCTGCAACATTTTCTCGTCTGGTGAAATGTCGACATGAAGCTCAGCTTGTCTGTCWGAGAAATTACATTGCCTTCCAAACTCACTGCGCTTCTTGGTRTATACATAGACGATCTCCATGACTGTACTTCTTCTGATAGAAAAAATCAATTAATAGATAACGGAAATATAATTAAGGTGAAATCCAGCAGGACATATTAAGTAAGACTTATTCGTCGTCGTCAGTTTAATTTGTCAGAAAATAAGAATAAGCTTAACAATATCCGAATAGATCTACAACAAAGTAAATCGCTAAATCAGATGTGAAATTATTTAATTTCATCTTTACTTGAAAGAAATCTAGAAATAAAGTTACAAAAAACAGAAAATACATGTCGAAAAAAGACAGCGACAGATTGTCGTGGTCGTGTAAACACAATTTGAAAACATATTTTGCTACAATAAAATAAAAAATCTGTACTTTTGACGCTGGCAAACTTACCTTTAACGTCCTTATTGGGCGTGAGCACTTGTTATATTAAAAGAAATCACCACAATACTGTATTTTTTGCAAGAAATCCTACGAAAATCACGTAAAATCTCTACATACAAAAACAAGATGGCCGAAAGTCGTCATAGCAACTTTTCTGGAAGGCCCGGTCACCTTCTTTAAAGGAGACGTGGTCGCTAAGCATAAAATGGCGGACAAAAATGGCAAGGAACATCGTGTTGATGGGCTCCATATTTATACCAAGAATCTCTCGCGATTACTATAGATGTCAACGAAACCTTGCCAAAACATTACGAAAAGATTACTCTTCAAATATATCTTCTAGTTATCCTCATGAGATCGTTGATTGGATGAGAAATGATGCTCCAGTTTTTGAAGTTCAAAGTGATGCAATTTCTGTCCTCAGTGAACCCACAGAATTCTACACGGCTCTAATAGTAAGGAGACTGTAAATTTATGATTTATAAAAACAGATTGTTCCTTAAAATATGCTGTTTATGTTTCTAGGATAATATCTCGTCTGCTCACAAGAGAGTTGTAATTGCATCTCTATATTTGGGAACTGGTCATTTGGAGAAAAAACTGGTAAGACTGGATTTTAATAAGAATTCAAATCAATCAGCTTTTTTAATTGATAATAACRCCATTTTGCTATAATTTTTCGTTTTAATTTGTTTTTCCTTGTGAAGGACGATACTACAGCAATATAAAGGGTCAGCTACATTGTATTACGATGAGCAACCAAACGACTTTTTCATGCAATCAAATACTTCTTTATTAAGGTTGAGAGTATACAGAATGCAATTAGAAATGCATGCAAGAGAGGCACCAAASTTGACGTGGATATCTTGTTGGAGTGTACCCGTGGATCGCGAGGAAAAATCAACTCAAGAACAATGCTTYTGCCTCTACTTCAGGAGTTTAGTGACTGTGTGAATGTGTCATTRTACCATACTCCTGAAKTAAGAGGAATAAAAAAGATGGTTTTGCCTGAAAGATTCAATGAAACTGTAGCATTGACTCACCTTAAAGTATACCTCACTGACGATACAGTTATTATGAGTGGGTAAGGYGATATTACTCTATATTTTAGAAATTGTATTTTTCATCACACTCTTTCAAAAGCTTGCATTTTTATTTTTTTTATTTTTATGTTTTAGCGCAAATCTTAGCCATGACTATTTCACCAATCGCCAAGACCGTTACATTGTCATAAAGAATAGTCCAGAAGTGGCAGATTTCTTTCAACAACTTGTTTTTACAGTAAAAACGTTCTCATTACAACTTGACAAGTGTAATACAACATCAGTTCATCCATCATTTCCCTGCCATCCAACAGACGAGAAGGATGGAGGGGTGCGTTTCATCACAGAAGCATCTAAAAGAATGAATGATTTTCTCAAAGAAACTAAATCTCACAAGGCAAGAAAACAAGATTATGAAACTAAAGAGAAAGCTTGGGTTGTTCCATTGGTTCAAATGTTTCCTTATGGTATACAGCAAGATGAGATAGTYACCACAAAACTTCTTGCAAGTTTACCAGAGAAGAGCAAGCTTCTTCTTGCTTCGGGATATTTTAACTTAACTACTGAGTACAATAACTTGATATTAAATTCCAAGGCACAATATGACATACTTACAGCWCATCCTTCTGTCAATGGATTCTACAAAGCTCCAGGAGTTGCAGGTATGTGTATTGAAATGCACAACAAATATCTAAAGTATATTAGGAAATCTAACCTCTTCTTCTTTAGTAAATGCAATGTGGGTGTAGCAGTGTATTATGCTCAGCAAACTAATTATTAGATAGTATGGGAAATTCTGTYTGGTCAAGATTTCATGTCATTTTGTTGTTATTTGTTCAATAGGTGGAATTCCTCATGCGTACACCCACATTGAAAAAGCATTTTTCAATCTTGTGAAAGAACATCRTCAAAGTMACCGCATTACAATTCATGAGTACAAACGTGACMACTGGACTTTTCATGTGAAAGGGCTATGGTATTATCCTCCTCACTCACCCYTCCCTTGTTTAACACTTATTGGGTCCCCTAATTTTGGATATCGATCTGTATTCAGAGACTTAGAAGCTCAAGTAGCTATTGTCACAGAAGACAAAGGTCTTCAACAKCAATTACATAATGAACAGAAACAGTTCTATGYATGTGCAGAGGAAGTTTCTGAACAGACATTTGCAAGACCAGACCGCACGGTACCCCTGTGGGTRAAAATTGTAACACCAATAATCCACAAATATTTTTAGCATTTCTCAATTTTCATCTTCAAAAAGTTATCAAAAGCTAATATTGACAGTTTTTGCTGCTTTTTGTCTTTGCAATAAGTAATTATCATCAGCTKTTTTAATTGTTATTTATCTTATTTAAAATTCAAAATTTCAAAATAAACCACTGTAAGAAACAATGCAAATGTTCTAATTCTTGTACAAAATGTTGGGCTCAAAAGAATTCATTTTAGAAAAGGTATTTCCCTTTTTTTTGTTTGCTTGCTTGCTTGTTTGTATTTTTTATTTGCATGAGGCAGTTTAACAGGCTTATCACTCAACCACAAACAATGTTTTATTGAATTCTCGGCTGTATTTTCTAACATGATAAAACACGTAAAAAGTAACATTGGTSGTAGAGAACAGTGCATTAATGCATTAATAAATTTACAATTGTTTCAATATATTACTACTCTAGTTTTAAGTAAAATCATGAAAACATTTTAGAAAAAAAAGATCGTATCTGTAAACCAAAGATAAAGGAATTACTTTACAATTTTACTTGTTTGTTTTAAAACAACCACTTTTAGTTAAAAAATTACATTAAGGCGGAAAAATATTGCTTTTATCGTATATTGCATTCATTAAATTACCTCGCGGAAATGATTTTGAAATTGACGTCAAAACGTTCAAAATGATCAAAGAGATTTACGTCATTAAAATACGTCACTAGGGTCTAATGACAGAGAAATCAAAACTGTTTTATATTACGTGGGTTTTTCTCAMGGAATCGATATTTGTACGCGCGATTGGATACTATTGAACTAATATTTTCTGAGAAATTTTTCATCGTGTTTTTACACTCTTGTATAAATAATCATCGCACAAACATTTACAGAATTTCGTTAAGTGAACGATTTTGAGACTAAACAACTATTTTGAAACGAAAAGTCCAGCTGTCATGACGCWGGAATCTCTGATAACTGTGCCTCTGTAGTTTCTCCTCTCGACCGTGGTGAACTGGGCACTGCAGATCTTGGCCTTCTTGGGGATCCGGTTGTTGGTGGCTGCGGACTGGGTGTTCTTTTAGCGGATGCTACTCGCGATTTCGTCTGCCTCGRTGACGGGGGCATCTGTGAAATAACGAAAAACACGTCATTTTCATATTGATGTTTCAGGGCGAATGTATGCAAATTAACTGAAAAGCACGAATCATGAGCGAATGAATGAATAAGGTCAATAAGTAACYTGACGAAAAAATTGCGTGTTTCAGTGAGAAAATTAACGGGATTATTACACGTCATACAAGTGAGGAACAATATCAATAATATGTTCCAGTGAACTATACGTAAATGAGTCACTCACATCCGTCATCTGCTGATTTTCTTGGTCGTGTCTTCCTTTGTAGATTTGGCCATCATGTCCTACTAACTCYGTTTCATCCCTGAATATAGTTTATAAAAAGAAAATAATGTTTCCACGTTTTGATTTTTTATGGAAAATACCCTTAAACGGCTTCTGATATAAGGATTGAAATGCTTACCTTTGAGATTGGGGTACGGGTACTATTTCTTCGTCTCGGTAGTAGTAATATTGACTAAAAGAAATAAAAAAGGATTTGCTAGAATAGTACTAGGCCTTTGGGACAATTATCTCTTCATTTTGGCACCCAGAGTAGTAAATTGAAGTCGCTGGTGTTTATAATAGTTATCTATTGAAATGATTATGTTTGTTATGATGTCGGTTGATTATTGATGATGATATTTGGGCATCAATGATGATAACGTACTTGAAACGTGCTGTACGTCGATGTGGGAATGTTACTGTATGGCTTCCTCCACATGATCGCGCTGTTGCCATGTTGATGTCTTGGTCGTAGGGATAACCCCTAGAAAACAATTTTTATTGTTAGATTAGAAAATTAAGTTCTTGTTGAAGCTCGTATCGCGACCTACAAAGACAGTGGGGGTCATATTTAGAAATAGTTAATCATGAAGTACTTAATCATATAGGGTATATATATGAAMAATATATACAAAGTGACTCACCCTCGGTTCATTTGACGAATTTGATCAAGTTCAAATGTAGTGTAAGCTCGGGCTGTGCGAGGAACTGGTAGGCTTGGGGACTGRGGAAGAGCAGGGTTTGGTCTAGAGGAAAAATAACAATACAGTACGCATAAATACTGGCTTCATACGCAGAATAATCACATGACACATAAACAGACTATGAATGACTTACGGTCCTTGTGCCATGTCTACTGGTCGGTCGCATGAAATRCAATGGAAGCGAAGCAACGCCCTTAAATAAAAGATAAAATACAAATAGAGGCATCAMAAAATGAACAATCAAAGATGAAGCAGAAAGAAGAAGGGAAATGACAGGAAAATTTTAAGGAGAATTTATTAGAAACGTTTTCAGATGTTTTACGTACTTTCTGAAACCAGCAGCTGGGTCTTCATTTAACGGCAGGTCTGCGTGCTTACATTTCATGTTTTTGATTTTTTTCTCTGAAATMAATACAAACAACATGAATAAAAAACAAAGAAAAATAACCGTTCACCAGTCTGATAGTAGGTGCACTGCCCCTAAAGCATGATGGGATAGCTACTCACCGAAGTAATCCCGTAAAGGATCTATTTCCATTCGGTCAAGTTTCCTGTCGACATCATCCGATAATCGCTTCAGAGCATCAGTCAAAGCAGCTTCCTACGGACGATATTTACAGGAAGGCATTACTCACAAACATCAGGATTTTAATTGACAACTGTCAATCAAACGCCATCATAATTCTGACCGATTAACTTACATTTGCCTCCAGTCGATTCAATAAGTCCTGTATGGCTTGATCCAAATTACCAATACTTTGATCAAATTTAAGCCTGCTTATTAGGTTATCCAATGCTTTCTTRTCTGCTTTCTGTTAAAAAAGACGTGAAATTTCACAAAGCTGTGTGCACCTCTATTACATGCAGTATACAGCTGGCTTGGGGCGAGCTGTAGCTACAACTTAGTATTGATGAGCAGGACTTACGACATCGATTTCCATAGCAACTTGTTCCTTATCGGCTTTGTGTTCTTGTAAACGTTCTACATACTCGTATAGTGCCTGAGAAGAAGAGTATTTTAGAGTATCACACTGAGTTCTAAACCTATATGACAACGTTATGTACATTTTTACATCATATTCTTACATCGATGTGTTTCTGCTTTCTGTTGTGCTCTTCCACAAGTTCCTTTGTCAAACTGTCCAACTTTTCCTGTTCTCCTTGTAGTTCCAGTAACATATTTCGAAGTGAATCGATCTTTCCGTCACCCTATTCATGTCAAGATATGTTTGTCATTTTATTATTTAGAAAACAATCTGCGTCACTTTAAAACAGGTTAAACGAATGAACGGTGTTTAAAAAAATCAYTAATAATTTTTATTTCACTTTTGTATTASTAATAARGTTTACCTGTGATTTTCCATTTATTGGTGAAACCGGGGATGCTGAAGAATTCATCTTCTTTAGCTTTATTTTTATGGAATTTCAAAGTTTACACATTTAGTTTCAAAACATTAAACAGTGTACAACCGTACAAGAAGCCATTTAAGTGCAAGTTAAGAAAAGCCAATCACGTGCCGTTGTTCTTTTGGCGGGCTTTTTGTGTGTGCGCGCGCACGTTTGATTATAAATTTGAAGGGCATGTGAAAAAATACCTTGCAGAGGTAAGTTTAAATATTGCATTTTAACGCACCTATTTACAAGAATAGATACTTCTTTATGTGAAAACGACTTGGTTTAACTTTTACCTTGTCAAATTGATTGTTAAGTAGTCTTATTCCTTCTCTGAGAGTTCGCATTTCTCTCTCAAAGTCGTCTTTGAATCTATCCTCCATTCGTTGGAGTTTATGCGGGAGCTTTAGATAAATATTCATATAAGCTTGGATTCAATGAGTTCTATATTTCATTTCATTTGGAATTACATTCTTTTATATAAAATTAACAGAAGTTGACATCATACAATTATAATTAACGAGTTTATTACAGCTTACATTTTATTCAAAGGCATTTTTCCCAAACATGTTTACCTGATTAGAGGAATCATTCATTTGATTGACAGTTTTCTCCAGGTACTTGAGCTTATTTATTTGTTCCAGCAAATCATCCGGGATTAACTGCATCTTAAATGATGGTTTTAATAATTTAAAGCATTTCCTCTAATACTGAATTTTTAAACTATTAATTCAATTTACCTTGTCATTATGGTCTGCCATGAGGTCAGTTAAACTTTTCAATCCTTTCAGTTTCTCATTCATTTGGTTTATCTTTAAATGTTAAGGGATATTAAGAAACCACTTTATTTACCACAATAATGAGTCATTGTTATAATGACTTGTTGATAATTTCCTGCATTCTGACTGGTTTGCACAGTCCAGAACTATCTTGGACATAATGCAGTTCAAATGTTAAATGGTACAGTATGCATCTAATTTGAGGTCATTTTACTTGTTTGGTGATTCCTCTCTTTTAAAACAACTATGTCTRGTGCAATATGTCAGCCAGTACACTGGATACAGTGGTGACATATTCGATTACAACATTTTTTTTTTTCAATTTTATATCATTCCGAATTTCACATATTTACAGTGTTTAGGTGACTGGTTTAAATTAAAGTGCTTTTTACCTGGTTCTTGTGATTATCAAGCAATGCCACACCCTCACGTAGTGACCTCAGCTGCTCCTCAAGGTCAGTAGGGATGGTTTTCTTATTTGGATTAAGATTGCAATTAATGGACTTTTAGATTTATCTTTAATTGTGTGTTTTATTGTGAAGCATCATCTTATACATCCTCAGAAATCCAGGAGCATTTCAGTAGGGGATAGAAGGTTAGTACGCCAAGTTCAGAAACTAATTATTTAGGTCGATTAAATGTTTGAATTTGTTTTTTTCTGAGGATGCATCATGTATAGCTCATCACTAGTGACAGAACTGTGATTTATTTAAAGTCTTTTATCTAGAATTTAATACATTCAGGTGAGGTGTTTTCACAATTGATACTTGCATTTGGCATGCAGTAAATATAAATSAACAGATGAGGAGTGATGGGAAAATGACATCCTGCATGTCTGCATTTTAATAGTATAATTGTCGAGTTATGAATTTTTTCATCTTWAATTCACTTTACCTCTTCTCTCCACTTATGAATAGCATCAATAGCTTCTCTCATTYTCTTTAGTTGGTCCACAATATCTGGTGGTACAGCTGGGAAATGAAATATAGACAATACATAATGTATCATCTTGATGATAATCATGTATACTTATTGCAAAAAAATAAAAAGATAAGTACCTGGACGATTTTTTAGATCTTCCAAATCATCTAGATTTGCTTTAGTGGGCATTTTGACCTAGTATCAAATAAATAATTTTGATGATACAAAATTTCCAATATTTTTGCTGTTGCAACTCAGAGAGCTTAAAAATTCAAATATAAAGTTATTGTTTTAACTCTATATACCTCAAGGTCTACCACTTTAGCTGCCATATCCTCATGCTTATCCCTRAGTTCACCAACTTGCCTCAAAGCCTCTAAAGCATCTTCACTAGGGTGTATAGGGGTTGGTGATCTTGGAGGAGGGGTGGGTGTTGGGGTAGGTGGCTTAGGGGTTGGTGTTCTTCTAGTTCTTGCATTCAAGGCTTCTTCCAACTGAGGCCATTTTACAAAGATRTCAAGGTCGCCAATATCGTCTTTTGTTGGAAGTTCATCAACCTTRCTTTTTAGCTTTTTCTGGAAGAAAGAATTTATTAAATCTCTTATATTATACTTTCTATAATTTTAAACATCAGATCTTGTCAGCAAAGTATCCTCTTACCAAATCATCAATGAGGTCCTCTAACTTCTTTTTATCTTCAGAGTTATCTACAATAATATTATTTTAATTAGTTTGGTACRATTTAGACTGCATGATTAATAATATGATGATTTGACCTACCCACGCTTTCTAATGATGATATCCGTTGCTCCAGTGCAGTATTTCTTTTTTCAAGCTGAAAATTGTAGTGAATCAATATCACGCTTTTTAGAGCAATATTTTTAATTATCAGGGTAGCTGCATTGATTGGTTTAGCAGTTTGGTTCCCTTGCCTTTGTGGTGGAAGGATTGAAACCAAACACCATGCAGGTTTTCTTCAGTGGGTGTTATATGGTAATTTCTTTGGAAGTGAGAGAATATACTAGTTGCTGTCATAGACCAAAAATTACAATAAAATAATTAGAAATTCTGATATGTACCTCAGCTAATTTCTTTTTCAAGTCGTCAATCCCTCCAGCTAGTTCCTTGATRTCATTAACTTCTGACATCATGCTGTCTAATAGGCTACTCAGCTAAAAARGAAAATTATATTTGAAAATATTGTACATGTAAATTGACTTGAAACCTTGTTAAATTGCAAGTTTTTCAAAATAACCTACATAATAGAGACTCATGTGGAAAGAAAGGAAATAAGAAAATAAAAACAAGAAATATTTGTCAATTTTATCAAAAAAAGATCCAATATTTAGCTTGTCTGGACTCAATCATTGTGTATTTGCATTCTTGAGAAAACATCAGCAGCAGTTCAATATTTCAAGTGATTTTATCAGACATTGATAATTAATCACAAGCAGTCATAAACGGCTGTTTATTTTATATAAAATGCTCAAATCTTATTTCATCTTTCTCATTTACTCATATTTCATAATATCATGACAAGTATGCTTTTATAGCAATGTCACATAGACAACAAATTATCACTTGGGCATTAATTAATAGATATCAACTGCTGTTTTTCCTGAAATTGAAATGGACAATAGAATTCTAGGATTAAAAAAAAAATAAAGAAAAAAAGATGTGTGAATAAGTGGAAAGTACATCTCATTTTATAATCATGATAAATTGTATTGTCTTTAAGACCATACCATGCCATTTTCAATCATCATTATAATTAATTATTAATCCTGTTCATTATTGGTTAAAATTCTAGATTCAGAATTAAAAGGTAAAATGATGTATTTGCAGTTATATTAACCGCCTTTGAAGTAAATGTTTTTCCTAATTTCCTACGACAAACACAGAATCACTGTGTAAATAGATAGAATGTTACAGAGATGTATTTGAAACTAACAAGACTTGTAATTTGACTTGGTCAAGACTTTAGCAGATATCAGATTGCGACTTAGGTCTTTTACTAGTTCACTATTACATGATATATTGGTGATTCATTAACCATACACGTTTTTACAGTATATTGGCTAGAAACATACCAAAGGATTGATAATTACTACACATAAAGCATTTAATCAACACCCACAGATAGGAGTTTTAATTTACCTTCTCGATGCCAGTCTCCGTAGCACCAAGACGACGATTTATGTTTATAAACTGCCAGATATCCCCAACAGGAGTCCTGTTTTCCTTCYTCATCTTAGCTCGTTGAAGGACCTCGCTATTACTAGGTAGATCTTCCAGTGCGGACAGTTTCTTCTCCATTTCTGTTAATTTACTCTCGAAATTTCCGAACTTGTCTGATGGAAGATGTTTARAAGTCGGTAAGCTACCAGCATTAGGTTGTCCATCTTTCTTCTCTGTGGATATACCATCGGCTTTAGTACTTTCTTCGTTTGTCAYTCCATCTACACTCGTTTTAACAAGGCCACASGCAGCACGAAAGTTTCCGTCATCTTCAACTTCGATGGCCTTGTTGTCTATTGCTAAATGTTTTAAAATTTCACGCACAACTCCATGTAGAATGTTAAAATTGACTGCGCCTGCTTCAGGYGTCCCTATCGCTAGTCCTAAAAGATGTTGTAATTCCAATTTGACCGTCATGGTATAGAATTATTTCCGATGTGTTATTCTAGAATGACTTTTACACAATTTAAGGAAAGACTGCACGTTCTACAGTCGCCATAATAACCATACTAGTGTTGCTAACAGCAACTGCCGTCTACTAACTTCACGGTATGAATATAAACTACTTGAACGAACAATAACAGCAACCACGAAAGCCAATCAAGTGTTCACAAAAGGAGCCAATCCTATTTCACGGTGAAACTCATGGCTTTGACGTCACGCAATCACGAACAGAAAATACTAGTAAGATTGAYCAAAAAATAAAAATAAAATCATAAATTAAGCGCTCATTCATCATTTTTTTGTAAAGATAACGACTTGATCACAAGAAACGTAATAATAATATATGATTTGTATTTCTTCGTCATTTGCGTCTTCCGGAGCAGGTGTTCCAAGCACACATGCAAAATGGCGCGAAACTTGGCTATCGCTTAGTGCCTTGTAGTCACGTATGCTAAAAATACTATAAGTCTCTAGACTTTTAAAATGCCAGACACTATAGAGCAGATAAACCAGGGCGGACTTAAAGAAGAATGYATTTCTATGTATGCCACTATTTAAATCAGCAGATATATTCTGATATTTAAAACCTCAGGAAATATTAATCGATATCCAGCTTGGCTAACCTCATAGTACTTTACTTTCCAGTATTAGAAACTAGTTATTTTTTCTTTTTGCGTCGGTATCCTCATAGGTGACCCCCCACCCTCCCCCTTACCCCCAAAAAAATCAACACAGGAATCCCATTTGTTTGGTGCACCCTGAGTACGACACAAATCTTACAACTATACAATATGTCTGAGGAAAACGAATCTTATCATAAGACCGATAAAAAAGCCGGTGAACTACCTTCTGCCTTCGCAGAAGTTCGTTCCTACGTCGATAAAATCCAGAGTATCCTTGAACAAGAGTCATCTCGTGTTCAGCAAGAGAAAGAAGCGTTCGATTCAGTCGCCAAAAAGTTGAAACACGTTCACTTCTCGTCCACCATTAAACTCAATGTTGGCGGACAATTSTTCACTACAAGTCTTCAAACACTGACCAAAGATGCTGGATCCATGCTTCATGCCATGTTTTCTGGTCGTTTTGATACCAAACCAGCAGAAGACGGCAGCTACTTCATCGACCGAGATGGCACKTGCTTCCGCTACATCCTGAATTACTTGAGAACCGGCAAACTAAACCTTCCAGACGACAACCTTGTGAAGAAAGATGTTCTTGAAGAGGCAGAATTTTACCAAATTCAAGGAATTGTAGACAAACTTAAACCAAAGCCATTCAGCCAGTCTGCCATTCTGTCTCCACAAGAACAACTTTGGCTTGTTGAAGCTGTGGGGAAGCTATATTGCAGTTCTAACCTGCTGTATCGYGCATCAAAGGACGGATGGTCCAGYTCAAACTTCCATACTTGCTGTGACAGAAAGGGAACCACAGTGGTAGTGATTAAGTCAAACGATTATATTTTTGGRGGATATACTACTCAATCATGGGACTGTAAGTATTGACTTCACATTGTCTAATAATACGARCCCAWARKMATTTTCTGAAATAGYATAGCGCRGTGTATTGTGGTCTAGATTCAGTACAAACATCTTTTGTTTCTGAAGCATGTTGTTGTTTGTAATGAAGCTAGACCATAATGCACCATGATTTCATAGCACTGCACTGCCCCTGGTTTTGGGGGGGACTCTGGGGTAAAAAAAGATCCCAGAAGTCTTGAAAAATGGGCGTGGCTGACTGATTTCTTACACCTAAGAGATTGCACAACAAATATCGTTCAATTAAATCAGTTCCAATGATAAGAACGCAGAGAAAAATCAATATCGATCTGCTCTTTCTTTTCTTTTCTGACACCTCAAGAGATTGCAGAAAATGCAAATTTTCCAGAAACTCCAAATTTGACAAAAGATTCACAATCATGATTTTTTACCCCCTAAGAGATCCGACAAGCATCCCCTGTACTTTTAAACCTGAGGCCTTTTAAACCCTGGCTTGTTACCCCTTCGTCCACAACCTTTAAAATATGTTTGTCCCAGGGTGACTTCAGTGTCCACTGCAATAATCAGTTCCTCTACACAAACACAAAATCTATCTATAATCACAACATCATAAATTTGAATTTTCATAGCTTCTAGTGGTTACAAGGTAGATACTGAAGCCTTTCTCTTCAGTCTCAAGAATTATGGGTCATTGAAACCTGCCATAATGAAGATCAATCCTGCCAAAAATGGTGAAAATGCTGTATATTGCAATTCAGGCTATGGGCCAATATTTGGAGGGGGACATGATCTTTTAATTCCAAACAACCCTCACTCAAGTAACTGCACTGTCAATATTGGTCATACTTATGAATGCCCATCAGGACAGTCAGGTACCACATTCTTGACTGGCCACACTAATTTCAGGGTATCTGAAATTGAAGTGTTTGAACTAATCATGGAAGACGAGTACTAGTCATCTTGGACACGACCTTAACCCACTTAATATGAAACTTGTAGACATACATGCATTTTATTAAATCGATTAGCTTAGTTTGAAAGCCACTGAGCTAGACTAATGAAGAAAAAGTCTTTTCCAGCTATTTCTTATGGATTAAGACGATCATGAATTGGCACGCATAGAAAGATGAATATTTTGTAATATAATAATGTTATAAAATATATGACTTAAATAAGGTGTCTGTTTTGTTGACTCGAATGTAACCCCTGATGTGTCACATAACGATTATGCGCTTTTCCGCGAAACCAGTCTGACGTCATGCGACGTAAAAATTTAGCATATTTCAGTTTCTTTGCACGAGTTCAATCTGAGATAATTCAGAATGTCTCAAGACCGTGAAACAGAACTTTCTATCGAAGAGGACTCAGAAAATCCAAGCGACGAAGAAATAGACCTACCCAGTGACGAGGTATTTGCACAGGTCGATGAGAAGATAGAAGAAATTCATACCATCTTGAAGACTGAATCTCTTCGGCTTCGTCAAGAGAAGGACGCATTCGATTCAGTCGCCAAGAAATTGGAACACGTTCACTTCTCGTCCACCATTAAACTCAATGTTGGCGGACAATTCTTTACTACAAGTCTTCAAACACTGACCAAAGATGCGGGATCCATGCTTCATGCCATGTTCTCTGGTCGTTTTGATACCAAACCAGCAGAAGACGGCAGCTACTTCATCGACCGAGATGGCACGTGCTTTCGCTACATCCTGAATTACTTGAGAACCGGTAAACTTCTGCTACCAGATGACGAGTTGGTTGGGAAAGAAGTCTTGGAAGAAGCAAAATTCTACCAAATACAGGGAATCGTAGACGAATTCACGCCTAGAGAACCCCCTCCTCCTCAACTGAGCCACATTTATGGCGATTCAACAATTCTTTCGACAGCGCAGCGTATTTATTTGTCAGCAATCCATGGAGAAGACCAGAAATTCAAGAAGTGCACTCTCCTGTACCGTGGTTCTAGGGATGGATGGGCCTCTTCAATATTTCATTCCAAGTGCGATTCATTCAGTGGACCAACAATGGTGGTGATCAAAAGCACAGGGGGGTACATCTTTGGTGGATACACGGAGCAGTCTTGGGCAGGTAAAAACTTGGCTTGATATATATTACACCAAGTACACCAAGTTGACTGGAGTCCTAAATATGGATTCAGTAGCATAAGAAACTAACTGTCTAGCATTTCCCACTTCCTCCTTAGGGATCATGATAGCCTCTCCGTTTTTGCTCTTTCACCGCGATTAATAGTACTCGAGATCGACATATATCACTTTTTGACCTCGATAGGTCTCACAAAGAAATCAAGAAGCTCAGTCGTTCCTAAAATGACAATAGTTTTTTTTTACGAATGATTGAACTTTATACACGACGCCTCCTCTTGATTCTTTGTTTTTGACTTCCAACGCCAAATTTGCAAGTCGGCTATTAGTTTCACACGATACTAGAGTGGTTTTCATTAACCCGTGAAATACACTTTAGCGTATTACACTTTATTACACTTTGTCTCTTTTGTTTTCTATTATATTTCTTGGCTATTACAYTTTATTACACTTTGACTATTACACTTTGTTTCACGGGTTAATGAAAACCACTCTAGTACAACGTTGTCAATGCAAAAGTAGCTTAATAAAAGGTATTGTTATATAATGTGCTTTTGCTTGAAATGTAAGCTTGATTTAGTAAACTGGTAACTCACCATTCGGCTTTTTCTCTTTTATTTGATTAGGTGGTGGCTATAAAGCCGACAACGCCGCATTTTTGTTCAGCCTGGTGAATTATTCAGGGATAACTCCAATAATACAGATGAAATCTTACCGTAATTATAGCAACGCGATTTACTGCAATAACAGCTATGGACCAACATTTGGTGGCAACCATGATCTACATATCTGCGACAATCCACAGTCCAATAGTTGCTATTCAAATATCGGTCATACTTACAAGCTACCCTCAGAACTGTCATCTAATTCTTTCTTAACAGGTGGACAAAATTTTAACGTTTCAGAAATGGAAGTGTATGGTCTTCAAAAGTAGAGTTATCTATAACCACTAGTACCACTAGTTAGATGAGCATCCAGTGATTTAGACTTTGCTAGATCCAGACTTTCCGTCGTACAAGATGAAAGTTGTAGTCCGGCTACCATAAATAAATGTAAAGTTAAGGAATATAAAACAGTTTTCCATGTATTATACTCTGATAAAAACACGCGGGAAAAAACACGCGAGAAAAAACACGGGAAAAAACACGCGAGTATAACAACACGGAAAACTGTTTTTTATTGCTTTTATAAAATAACAAGCGCTCAAATATTCATGAGAAAAAAAAAGCCGAGAAAAAAATGACGCGAGCGTGTATTATGCTCTCATCATTTTTGGCCAATCAGAGCGCGCGTAATATGAAAGTTATTTTATAAACATAAATACATCGTTATTCTCGAATCATGTTTCAGTTTTGTAGTTTAGATCATATATAATGATCGTTGATTGTAGTATAGAGTAAAATTGATAATCATAATTTCTATTAAAAATACCTTGTACTGTAATAATCATTTAAAGGGCTAGTTTACGTTTTTTTTCCGAAGTGTCACTGGGAAAAATCGCGCGCTTCAAAGGTTGTAAATTTGATGTAAATAATGTAAGTGTCCAAAATTCTGTAAATTTAATGGAAATCATTTACATCAAAGCGCGCGATTTTTTCCAGTGTGTGTGTGGTGTGCAGCAGATTCAACGCATTTCATTCTTTGATATCTTTTCTTTCAATGCTCAATTCTATTATTTAGTAGGCAGGCACTAACTATACTTGATTACTTATTTTGCATTAGTCGACAAGAAAAAGAAAACTTCAAAATATAATGACTTTACTACAATAACACGACATCACAATGCTGCAGCGCGCAAAGTGAGTCCTAGAAGTTTAGCAAGCTCTGAGAATGGCTTTCATGACCACGTGAACAAAGTGGACTAGTAATGAAAGGTTTTTTAATATAGTATACCTACAAATGTCTACCATAAATGAGTTATCGTCAAAATAAACGAAAATACATAACAAAACACAATAAGGATACCTAAAATAACAAGATTTTTACAAACAACTCTCATRTTCTTAGGAAAAATAAAAGCGTTGAAAAACAACGTATGCTGRAAAAGAACATACGAAACCGCTACGTATATAATAGTTGCAAGCATRAAGTTTAACATGGGATAACCAGGGATGTATATCAAGTTCTTTTGCGCATTTCCTATCATGTATATATGGATTTGAGAGAGATACGTTTCTAACGTAATTTTCCCAAGCCATGCAAATAGGTTCAAATACGTGGACCGTAGATATGGAAAAATATTGCGCAGCCAGATRTAGATAAGAATGGGTATCCATGATGTAAAAGGGTGGATTTTCTTGTAGTATTCCCTTTCTTGTAACAGGATAAAGTTCATCCAGAGCGCAAACAGTACAATACAGAATATAATAGAGCCAATTTTGATGGTCATTGCGATCTTTCTATCTCTACATGTATCRTGCTTCTTGTCCAGGTAGGCCAGGAATTGATCCACGTAGGGGTAGTTATAGGCACATAACATCCCCACCCAAGTAGCAAGGTGATCCAAACTGCAAAGAAAATATCTTATATTGCATGTCAAACTGCGCATTTTGAAGAGTAACACATCAGAACTAAACAGCAACTATAAATTAATGTGTTTTAAAGAAAAATCTGATTGCCAAAACCATGTGAAAGTAAAACTTACGTTGAGCGATAAACCCAATAGTTAAGATTTCCCTTGACATTCAAAATGAACTGGAAWGGCCAGAAGACTTTATACGATGCTCCAGGAATGTCAAATATTAGCACGTTGATTACCAGGTAAGCGATAAACTTYCCTGCCATCACTGTTCTGTTCTGAAAACAAAACACATGCAGTTTCTCTTATATGTCTGGTTTGTTTATTCTCTACGTCCGCAGTGATTTAACCAAGCAAAGTTGTCTAAGCTAGGAGAAACTCAATCCAGAACATCAGGGAAAAAAAACAAAAGTGCGGAGGTTATGGACCCGCCCTTCTTCCTCYCATGCATGGTCCCTAAATGACTAACTTACTGTGTTGTAGGACTTGAATACCGCCATCATGACATATACGGACAAGAACCAGTAAGTGTGCATGGCACAAATATAGTATCGAACAAACTCGTTATTTGTTACTGCCATTACCATGATGACCAAGAAATTTAATCGAAACATCATTTTTAGAAGACGAAAGATAGAATAGTCTTTCCTTGTCCAGAAGTATGAGAAGTTTCCTGTGGGCCGATAAAAAAGGAACAGGTGTATGTATTCTTGAAGTAAATATTCTTATAACTGAATATTGGTGTTAACTGACTAGCTTTGGGAGTGCCAAACCACCTAGTCACGTGATCTTTAGCATGCGATATATACATTTCTTACCAAATCCTGTCATCCACACGTATGATGCGATGTAACATCGTATAGAATTGAATACTTCCTGTGCATCAAAATAATGATACCATACAAACTGGACCTGAGGATGTCACACGAAAAGAACTCTTAATATTGTATGTATACTTTAGTAAGACACATGTAGAACTATCAGTATAATGCTTCATTAAACAAACAGTCAACGTTTCATCGTATGGTATTCATATGAGTTTGAAACCGCTGATATTTATTCATCAGTGCTCATGCCATATGCATCGTTACGTTCTAAAATGCTCTGCTTTTTAACTTTTTGCTCAAAATGCTTGCTTATTTATTATCATGGGTGCCAGTTACTATACCTGCATCCATACGAAGAGGATTACGAGAAGATTTATCATTTTTTTACTACATGTATATTTCGGCCTTTGGATAAAGACCGAAATATACATGTAGTAAAAAAATGATAAATCTTCTCGTAATCCTCTTCGTATTCAAACTATATGCCCAAAAGAATATATTTACCTGCATCCATCCTTTCCATTCCTCGGTCTGATCTCTGTTTAGTAGTTTTTCTGGTGTCTTTTTGACAGTTAATACAACCGCCACGAACACCAATAGAGTGAAAAGAAATGTAAACATATCCCTAGAGTATTGCTTGTCTGTTTTTGGCCTGAGAAACAGAAACACAATAAAGCGAGTCATTAAATACTGATCACCAAAAACTAACAAACTGAAGATAAATGGTTGCAGACGAATCTTGTTAACAGCATCGATCAGCCTGGAAGAGGGAGAAACTATATGAAAAGGACAAGCCCGTTGTTTCCCTTGTAACCCTCTTGAATTAAAAGAATATCAACATTAAATGTCCTTACCAAATGTGCTGATAGTCACAAAGCCAAAAATACAGCATAAACAATCCAAATATAGAAGCTTTTCCTAGAAACTCCCCGATGTCTGGTTGATCTGTAGCTGTTTCTTTGAGCCATTCAACAAACGTGTCTCCTCTTTTACATGGTTTTGTATTCTCAYCAAGAACACACTGCGTTGATTCGCTCTCTACGGTTGCATCACCTCGTCCAAAACGTGAAATTGAAGCTGTATGAACCATAGTTTGTGAGTTTAAACTTTTGGCTAAGAATTCTAGAGACTAGTCATAGCATCAAAAGCACTCCGCTGTGCATCGTGTTTAATTGTTCTGACTCTTCTCGTGCTCAGTGGGCATGATGCCGATGACACTAGGAAGAGCATTCAGAGACAAGAATAGGCTACTTACGTTGTACTGGATGCTGTTCTTGTTTATCTTCGTCTGGATCTGGAAACAGAAACAGAATGCGCGATGCAATGTTTATTTGTGCATTCCGTTTCTTGGTTTACCAGGAAGTGAAGATATACTTTACCTGGTATATGGTCAGGTTCGATGTCAGCGGGATCTTTAAATTTTCTTCTAGCTTCCCATTTACGTTTGAATTGATATATAAAATAAGATAGCCACGATACAATTATAAGAATCCATAAACAGAAAAGAGCCTTTTGATGAAGAGTGATTGGACGAGTCGGAGAAAGCCTGAAAAAGTTCGAGGAATTCAAGAGTTCATTTGCAATTCTTGCTTGATATCAACGTCTCGTTTTTTCTCGTATAACTTTTGGTTTATTGATTACACTACTGTATCTAAGTCTGATCCGTGAGTCACAAAAACTATTCATGTCACATGTACACCCGGAGCGATCTGGGACGAAGTTATGGAATTAATGTTAAGTTCAGTCAAGTACTGAGAAGATGAATGACGCTATTACTGTATACTTACCATCCGAATGTCTGTTTGTTGTTCAGATATATATTACGTTGTGTATATTGTAATGCTCCCTTGTCTTTTGTCACTGCACCACCCATCGYTTAATCCACACTACAAACAGGTCAAAGTGCATTTTAGCTTTTATTTTAGCTTTTTTTGTTTTTTGTTTAATCAAAAATCGTTCTAAAGTTCCTTCTCATCATTCTTAGGTGTTTAAAATCCTACTCAAGTCTTATATAAAACAGTGTTACGTTAGAACGTTGGTAACTGATGCCCATTTGGCAAGAACCTCTCAGGCATCGTCCCTGAAAACAGTTTTTAACAAGTATGTACAGGTGTCCAGGATAATCTAGCTTGTATCTATCTCTAGCATAGGAAACTCAAATTCTCGTTCTAAATCTGTCTCATTGCATTTTTTTTTCAGTTTACTTTAAATGAGAGTAGAAAAAGTAGTTTTCTGTAACGAATAGAACTCCCTTTTCGTTAATTCCTATTCACAGACATTCCAAAAAGTTACCATTCGAACAYGAATCTCTAATGAAACGTTATTAAATTAAATCACTATATAATCTCCTTTATGAATACCATTCATGTAGTCAAAAGAATTAGCGTATATAAATGTTTTGACTAGTAAAAATATACGATAAAATAATAACAAAACAGTTGACATTTTAATGATGGTAACTGACCCGTGCAGCTATGAATAACAGGTGTTATAGACGTTAGAYTGWGGGGGAAAAAGACCAACATTAACCATACAAACCTTTTGGGTGTTTCGTTATATGAATGCAGTGATTTTGGTGAGTTTTTGTTTGCCACACTGGTTTTAATGGCTGCTAACATTGATTGTTTTCATTTTATGACGTCCGAGTCAGTTAGGATGAGTCAAATAATGAAGTCACCGTTTAAAAATAACGCAATGACAGCTAAGCTTAGACAACTTATGCCAGCAATGAAGTGAAGGCGAACTCTACGGAACTGTTAAGTATACAAATTAATCGATTCTAACAAGTGAATTTTCGTTCACGGGTTTAATAAACTTATGCGTTTAATGAACTTATTTTTTTTTCTATATTTTCAATCTAGTGACAATTTACACTCTTACAAGAAAGTCGCCTGTTGTTAAATTTCACAGATTTGCTGGAAGGAAAAAGTGAACTGATATAGTGGTAAAATATACAAACTACTGAAAACGTTCAATTCACGGGTTTATGATGATTAATTTACGTTTTTTTACTAAACGTTTGTGTCTTTACAAATTGAAGTTCTGACGGTTGAGTTTTGTGTTTTCAAACTTAGCATCTGAGAAAGATGACCTGCAAGTGTKCCAATGATATAAACCTTCATTCGCACCTATGGGCAATCATTCGCAGGTGTCTGTCATTGTAATGCTTTTTTTTGAAATTTAAAAATTTCATGTTGCTTTGGTGCAAAGGTATCTTTTAAGATAACACAGGGAACCATGAAGTAGAGTCTTTATCCAATGCTTTATCAAAAGATATTTTAAGGCATTTTTTAAGATAACAAAGGAAACCATGAAGGAGAGCCTTTATCCAATGCTGTATTAAGATTTAAATAAAAAGCTTGACTCAACAAAACAGTATCTTTTCAATTGTTTTTATTTTTTTCTTCTCTTCTTTGCTTTAAATTTAGYGGAACCAGACTCTTTGGATCTCTTTTTGTGATTAAACTTTTTCTTCTTGACATATTTTTCTTTTTTCCTGAAAAGTAAATAAATGAATGGAATAAAACCAGAACTAGCACTAATTGTATAACAAATGTCCAATGAAACTATACTGAAAACTTACTTTTCATATTGTTTATTCTTTAATTCTTTATCTGTTTGATTCGCACAATCACTTTTTATAGATGTTCCRATTGAAGGATATTCCTAAAATTTCAAGTKTGMCTCTTTCATTTCAATTTTCACTGTRAAGAACTTCAAATTTTATATGATAAATAGCTGAGGTAAATCCCTCTCAAAGKCTGTCACGAGTACCTTGTTTTGAGTAACACTTGTTGACCCTCCATTAAGATCTATATCACAAACTTGTGTAACTGTAACAATGTGTTCAGGATGTTCATATGTTGCATCAACTGTAGGGAYGTCATCTTGACTATTATTGTCATCATCATCATCTGACTGCATAGCGTCTTTTGGTGATAATCAAAAAAGATAAACAAGACTTAACAGATGATATATATATATATATAAATCAATGTAAGCAGTATTGTCCATTTCAGCAAAAACGACTGATCTGGCAAATTCATCTCGAAAATATTAAATTAAAAGTTTGAAAATATTAATTAAAAGTTTGACATACACACCATATTCTTCCTGTTGCTTCCTCAGACTTTCTATCAACTCATTTCTCTTCTACAAATAAAGAAATATATACATAAACATTGCACTAGTAATGTTAAATCCAAGCTGTGTATCAAACCTTTTGTTTAATTTCTTTTAGCTCTTGGATTTGTTTCTTTCTGAGTGCGTCATGAGCACGTTGTTGTCTCTCTTTTTTCCTTTTACTGAACCCAAGCAGGTATTCCCTACAAAACAAATATTCCAKTATTAACCTATAAGAACCTGTGCTTTTCTGGTTTAAATTTGGTGCCTCTAACCTTCTTGATTCTTCGTTAAAAACAACTATTTTCTTTTGTTTAGTAAAACTCTTCTTTCCTTTCGCCATCTTGGTTTTCGTTCACACAGAAAGCCGCATGAGTAATGTAGCGCTGGCTCAATATTCAAAATGTTGTAAAAACTACCTTTTTAGAGCAAATAAAGATTATTCAAAATCAGAAATTAAGCTTTCTGTTCAAGAAAATGCTTTAGTTTCACTATTTACAAGCGTTTCTAAGTATTTGTGTGAAAAAGCGAATTAGATATATTTGGGTAGCCTGTATGTTGATAGCGCGGTCACCCAGCTTCATATGCAAATCATGTGACCATACTGCATTTAGGATTTTGTGACAAATTTATTACTTTTCATAGTTTTATGTTTCGTGGTTCCGATAAAGACGTCGAACTGCCAGATTTTCCTCCAGTCGTCATGCTTCGACCTAAAGTATTATCAGATGTACTTGGACAAGCAAATACAGGAGGGGTTCTTAACACACTGTGAGTTCAAAATGCGACGATTTGAAAGCTTGTTCTTGACTTAAAATTTGTCGGCTTACTTTACTTTCGACTCCTTGGAAATTGGTTGTAATGAACACCAATTAATTTCGTATTCATTTTATGATATGTCTTTATTTTTTTAACATCATACTTGGCAAAAATAATGACGATTTTGACTGACATGCACAGCTGATGATAATGATGAATAGTGACGATGATTATTTAGTATCTGTTTGTTGTTAATGTAGGTTATTGAACAATGATGGTTCAATATTATCCCATGCTGGTAGTGGTGATAAGGAGGCTAAGGTAACAGCAGCTATAGCATCAAGTATATGGTCAGCATACGAGAAAAATGGCAAAATGGCCTTCCATAATGAAGACTTACAAATGATATTCATGGACTGTGAGGTGATGAAATTAGATGCTATGTTGCCATTGTTTTTGTAAACAACTTGTGATTATCACTAATACAATAGTGATTTCAATTAACTGCATTGGAGAGGCTAGTGTAAATTGTTATTCTCTACAAATAGGAGTAAAACGTGTAGTGGTGGACTGGTTTTCATAAACTCCATTTTAATCATTTTGCCATATTTCATAAATAAATGGTCAAACTATTCGATCAACAGGATGGTAAAGTTGCTATTGCAAGAGTTGGTAATCTATTATTGTGTTTATATGCAAAAGAAAGTGTAGGATTTGGTATACTAAAAGCAAAGGTAAAGATAACAACTCATTCTAAATGCCACAGAAAACAATTAGCAAAATATGGGGGTTGCCCTCCTAAAAAATATTTCAGACTCTAAAAGTTTACCTGATACTCTGAAACTGAGTGCTTGAAGACACCCTCAGGAACTCATAATTTACATTGTTGAGGAATTCACACTCTATTGTGCAAGAATTGGTTGTTATCATTGATTATCTTTTATTATATAAACTTCAATGAAATACCAGGAAATTTGTAGTGCAAAAAGTGATATCTTTCGCGTGTGGAAATAATACTTTATTTCACATGTGAAAATAACATGTTACCATGGAGACTCAATACAATATAGTCCTATTTCTTGCCTTATAAATACAGATTTTAGTTTTATAATAAACAAGACTTTACACTTGGAGATGTGAATTCCATCATCGTGAGAAAATAGAATCTGTAGCATGTGCACATAATATACTCTATATCTTTGAATTTCTCAGGTACAAGMTTTGCGTAGTTATCTGGATGAGCCATTGAGACAAGTTGTCACATCATGATAGCCAAGATTTAGATTACGTTTTGAAGTATTAAATAATTGTTAATCATCATGGACTGTAAATTGTATTAGATATTATATTGTCTTCTGGTTAATTCAACCAAAATGATTATCCAGTTATAGACAAAAATCGAGAATATATCAATTCAATACTTAAAAATATGTAACACAGATGCTATCTAAAAAGTATGTCAAATGTACTAGATRTGCTCCATGTTTTTTATCAAGTGTGTAGACATTGTGTGGGAAATAAAATTTATTTTGTAGTACTTTATGTGTTTATACATAGTTAACTATGGTTTATAATACAGCCTTTTGCAAAAATTATGAGAATTGTTGAAATATCTAAATATCATAATATCAAGTGCATGATCCCGCGCGATGCCCTTARTCCCTTGTCTTTGTTGTTTAGTTTTTTTTGGCGACGGACTTATCCGTAGTTCTGAACATTTTCTCGATGTCAACAATGAATTATTCTAGCAAACCCTCGTGTTCCGGACAATATATGGATATGGATATTATGACATTTAGATATTTAGACAATTCTCATAATTTTTGCAAAAGGCTGTAATAATCTTTAATCCTTTAAATACCAATATAAATATATTGGATATAATGAATATACATGTTTGTATAATTATGTGGACGTCAATCACAGGTAAAATCATTGATTCAAAGAACTGCACTTCCGTTGTCCAACTTTTAATACACATTAGAGTCTTGATCATTCGGCAGCTTGATACAGCACACAGTATGAATAGTAGTTTGAAGCCTACGATATATTAAGTTACAAGAATCATCACAAGCTTATTACGGAATAGAAATTACAAGATTTTCACTTACCTGTTAACATAGCATACAGAACTTTGAATAAATATACTTATTGTTCTATGGGCTTATATATGTAGCTATTAGCATATTTGGCGGTAAAACCAAATTATCATTTTTAGTGTGAAACAATCATTATGCTTTAAGCTGATAAGTCCCTACGACATTTTGTACTGTCATATTCCAAGATGCAAGATGCTATTATTATTTTTTCCCATTGCTTTTCCAGCGATAATTTTTGTTCGTTTCCAAGACGACAAGAGTAGTTCGAACCACCTTAACTTTTTATCCAATCGCAGAAGAGCACGCTCATGCCTCGTGTCTCGAGCTATGACGTAATAAACCTTCCTTTCGACCGCCATCTTTTACCGAGAAAGCACTCGGTCAACTATATGTCTAATTTCTCGAGAATTTTGCGAGTTCTTTCTCCTAAGAATACTCCAGGATTCATAAGCTCATTAAGAATCATGTCGAGATACGATAGGGGCCGTTCTTTCGATATGGGAGGGCGTTCAGAACGCAAAAGGTAAGCTTGAAAAACGACTACTGAGAACTATCGTTCAGCACGCGCCAAGAAATGCGTTTGAATGATAAACGCCACAATTTTTGATAATTTGTCAGTATAAACGAAGTTTTTATTTAACATTTTCAAGAGACTGTTACAGTAGCATAGTCAAGTTTCATATTAGAGGAAATACGACAAAAATATTTTGTCGACATCAACCGGCGACTGGAGTCGCCATTTTGTCTTTTCGCTTTCTCTATCAAACAACAGACGAGGCACATGTAGTCGATTATTCATTATTCTTGGTTTTCTTATAAAAGTGGAAGATACAATAGCGAAATTAAAAAATGAAAAGAATCAAAGTTTTTTTTTCTGAATTATTTCATGATGTGAAAATTGTCATCTTGTAGATTGCATAAGTTTGACATAATTTACATTTTGTGTAATTTTTTCGAATTTTTTGTTTAGAATCTATAAATCTGTCTGTGTTTTACGTTTTACGAGCGAGTGAATTTTATAGCCTTCCCTGCATTGCTTTAACCTACATTTATTTTCTCTCTCTTCAGTTTAATGGGAAGTGGCGGCTATGGTGGTGGTGGCCGTGGAGGAGGAGGAAGCCGTTTCAATGATAGAGGGGGTGGATATGGTGACCGTGGTGGTTTTGGTGATAGAGGAGGTGGTTTTGGTGGTGGTGGTAGAGGTGGCAAAGGTGGCAAATCAAACAACGATCTACTGACACTAAGAAAACCAAAGTGGGACATGAACCAGTTGCCTAAATTTGAGAAGAACTTTTATCGAGAGCATCCAGCAGTTCAATCAAGGTCTTTTGAAGAAGTAGATGCATATAGAAGATCCAATAGTCTTACTGTATCAGGYAGAAATGTACCTAAGGCYACACAGAACTTTGAGGAAGCATCATTTCCAGGTAMTTYYRCCCAAAATATGTCTTTTTATTTATTTGTTGCTGACAAAGTTGCTATAATTTTCTTGCAGATTTTATCATGGAAATGTTCAAGAGGGAAGGCTTTGTCTCACCAACATCCATCCAAGCACAGGTTAGTGGTTGGCTAAGAAATGTTGCAGTGAGTGAATTGTATTTGAAATGGTTATTTTGTACTTTTAGGGCTGGCCTGTTGCCTTGACTGGAAGGGATTTAGTAGGTATTGCACAAACTGGATCAGGAAAGACCTTATCGGTAAGCTTCACTGAAGATGAAGTGATTTCAGACTGCATTCTAGTAATTTGAAAAAGAAATCCATCCAMCGTTTAAATTCTATATCACTGTTTTTTGTTGTAGTTTATTTTACCTGCTATTGTCCACATATACAATCAACCATTGCTACAACCAGGAGATGGGCCAATAGTAAGTAACATGAAGTAGATTTCTTTTTATCCAACAGCTTATGATGATCTTAAACTTGTCGAAACTGTTTGTAAAACAATTGTAGACAAATTGAATTCCTCGTTACTGAAGCTTTGGTCTCTAAAGAGAGAGAGAGAGAGAGAGATTTAGATAACTTATTGCAATGGTTTTAATATAAAATGATTTTTTTCTGTAGGTGCTTGTGTTGTGTCCCACTAGAGAGCTTGCACAGCAAGTACAGGTAATGTTATAATATTGATGGCTGTCTTTTTGTCTGTACTATGGACCAATAAAATTAGCTGTGCACATCTTATAATGTATTTTTATTAATGTTAACAATGATTCCAGGGCGTTTCCAATCAGTTTGGCAAAGTTTGTCGAGTCAGAAGCTCATGTATATATGGTGGTGCACCAAAAGGGCCACAAATCAGAGATTTGGAAAGAGGTTAGCATTATGATGTATTATGTTCTGTAATGATCTACTAGTGTTGGTATTGATTTGGAACTACTTGAGAAAATGAACACATAATACAACTTGTCTTTGTCGCTATGCAAAGGAACCAGTAATTAATGACGACCACTGATAGTAACTTTTTTAACAGTAATTAATACTCTCATGGGCTGTGTATTTTTTTCCAAAAMCATTTTATCTCTACTTTGATGCTTATCAAACCTATTCTGTTAAGGTGTTGAGATTTGCATTGCCACACCTGGACGATTGATAGAYATGTTAAAAGCACACAAGACAAACTTGCGTCGATGTACCTACCTTGTCCTTGATGAAGCTGATCGCATGTTGGACATGGGTTTTGAGCCGCAAATTAGGACCATTATAGAGCAGATTAGACCAGACAGACAGACTCTAATGTGGAGTGCTACCTGGCCTAAAGAGGTAGAAGGTCTAGCCATAGATTTCTTGAATGACTACGTGAAAATCACTGTTGGAAGTGCAAACTTGGCTGCCAACCATAAAATCYTGCAGATTGTAGATGTCTGTGATGAAACTGAAAAAGATCTCAAGTAAGAAAATACAGCTGTGATGTTCATTAATATTAACATCTGATGATTTACCTAAAATAGAAAAAAGTATAATAATAGTTTTAATAATTCCCAGTCAGGTCTGTCAAGMTTATGATGATATTAAACAGTGATTACTGATAAATCATTTAGTTGATGACAATTTTGAATTCCTCGTTACTGAGTTCTTGACAGCAAGTTCTTCATTTAAAGGTCTTTCCTTTTTATTGTGTTTCTAATTCATGGTTATGTTTTAGACTTATCAAACTACTTGAGCAAATCATGGGAGAAAAGGAAAATAAGGTAAAAACCACCATAGATTCAATATTCAGTTTGTTTTATTGACATTGTTGTGTGAATGCTGTACTGTAAAGGAACAGCTGTTCTGTTCATTGTGAGTTCTAAAGATACTTGAATAGTTTTCCCACAAGTTTTGTTTTCCATGCAATACCTTTGAATATGCTTTGTGTATGGCTTGATTCACATGATTTGATTTCAGGTATCTCTAACTATGACTATAAAGTTAATTTTGTTATTTTTTTGTTCTTAAAGACATTGATCTTTACTGAGACTAAAAGAAAAGCAGATGACCTAACACGAAGATTACGAAGGGATGGGTGAGTCCTTTCAATTAAGATACCTAACTCATGACATGTTGAAGTAATAAAGTGCTCTACTATTGTGATCATTTCAGATGGCCTGCTATGTGTATCCATGGAGACAAAGCACAACAAGAAAGAGACTGGGTGTTGGGCGGTAAGTATCACAGCACTTGATGTTCAACAACCTGTGTAACAAAGTGTAATAAAAACAGACTGAAGGTACAGACAAAGTTAAACCTGCACAATAAAGACCAATAACATCTAGTACACTTCAGTATCTTGTAATCCAGACATGTTTCCAACCCTAAATTTAATTCACTTATTTGCAGAATTCAGAAAAGGACACGCTCCCATATTGGTTGCAACAGATGTTGCATCTCGTGGCTTAGGTTTGTATAATATTCTTGAAGTTGTTTGATGACCCTATTRTATTCCAGTACATCGTGGATTGCTAACAGTTCACTATTGTCTCTACTAGCAGTAGGGTTTTTTAAGAGGGCTGGTGTTATGGCCTTCCAGGGCGTGGACCCAGACACTTCATGACCACTAAGTTGCTATATCAGCTGATTGTGAGGGAGAATCAAAAAGCCAACCAATATTTATAATTCTAGTATTATCAGGCAAGTATAAAATAGATATAGCGACTGTCCTCACAAATGTCCTGTTGATTTGACTTCAAGGTTTTTCTGCATCTACCTGTTGATTATTAATTGTGCTTGTAGTCATATGGCTATTGGCTGTGATGGTGTTAATGCTGTCTACAAACAGAATAGTGAGTTGTAATGTGTATTGCAGTTGGATTTCTTGTCACACATAGTCACATTTATCTAAATTGTTCACACAACACTAATGAATAATCATATTAACAYAGTCACCAATAGAGCCCATCACTTCTTTTTTTACAAATGATTTTTTTCCTTGAAAAGTCATAATCATCTGTAGCATGCTTTCACATTTTATCTTTCCTAAATCCAGCATTTTGTAATGTTCTATGATAAGGATTTTTTTGATAAACTGTTATTTACATTTAGTTCTAAAAGCAGACTGAGTTTGAGATAATGTCAGTTGGGTGGGTTTTGTTTCTTTGCGATGCACAAGAGTGTCTTATTCAATTACACCATCATTGCCAGCTATTATGCCTTGCACACATTTTGTAGYATCTGTGTGGACTTGTCTGATTAGGTGGCAGTATCCACAATGTTACATATCAACAGTTGACATACATTAAATGGAACTTCTTGTCTTTGCTCACAAGGGAGCTGTAGACATGTACTTAAGAAGATCAATATTTTTTGACATTAACAGCAACCTTTGTACAATGTACTTTTTGACACATTGAAAATCATCAATAAAAGGTTTTAAACCAAGATTTGTGTGGTGGTTGTACAGATTTTTTTCTCTAGTTATTCTAGTTTCACATTAGTGCAAGCTTTGTAGAACCTTTTCATCTCTGTACAACCACATTAAAAAAATGCAGTCATCATTTATATCTGATATAATTTGGATCCAAAAGACTGCAGCAAATGAAATAGGTTGATTTGGCTTGTATGTTTATCAATGTGACCTGGTCCAAGTTGGATTATTAGAGCTGTTATGTTGCAAAAATACCTTAAAGTATAAAATTTACTGGTAAAGCAATCATATACATCTCTATTGTTTTTAAGTCTTTATATTTCTTGCAATAACATTAATTAAGAATTATTGAAATTAGGAATGCCAAAAGTAATGTACCTTTTTTATAACTTTTGTTTGTTTTGATAATATTTTTGCAATTAATGTGGTTTTTTTTACATAATGATAGTAATCTTAATTATGGTAATACTGATATTATGAGTTAAATTCTCTTATTTAGRTAGCAGTCGCTAATTTTCATAGACTTTTGGTAACAAAACGTTTTTCATCATTATCTAACTTGGACCAGTTATCATTGACTGGTATAGTTGTCTGGTAGGTGCAGTGTTTAGACTTTGATTGACAGAGGACTATTGTGTAGGATAAAGGACCACAAAGCTTGAACTAATGTCTTTCATTACTTGCCCTATTCTCAAAACATAACTATAAGCAATAACTAAAAAGCATTATTTTCCGGCTTTGGCTCCCTCTTTCTCATCTGGAAAGCAAAAGTCATGGATTCTGGTTCCTGCCAAGAGGAGATCATATTGAAACTGGCCGTTCAAGGATAAGCTTCTCTTTTTGAGTTGCTTGGGAATAAGGAGGTAACCGTGAGTATTGGGGGGGATGGATGAGGGCTCACTCCTTTGGGTGATCGGGAGGATATCTACCAAATGGYATTTCCAGGAGATTTACAATGTCTTTCATCTGGATCTTGATCCTTGTGACTCATTTTGTTATACCCTACAATACATAGACATCACAGACATCAAGTTTGTGATCAACTTCGACTTCCCAAGTTCWACAGAAGACTATATCCATCGTATTGGAAGAACTGCCAGGTCTGATCGCACTGGTACCTCGTATACCTTCTTCACTGTGAATAACGCTAAACAGGCAAARGACTTGGTATCTGTCTTGGAGGAGGCTAACCAGCATGTCAACCCYAAGCTGTATAATATGATTGAATTGTCCAAAACCTTTGGTAAAAGTAAGTAGATATTACTATTGAGTCTAGTCATTGTGTTACTGGTATGCAAACACACAATGTATGATATACATGATCTACTTAACAAAGGTCAGGTTGGTTAACTTAGACCAACATCTTTTCCAGAGAGAGATCGTTTCCGCTCCAAAGACACCCCATACTCTARACCAGGTGGAAGACCAAGCTACCATGACACTAGAAGCAGTAGTGGTGGAAGAGGTGGTGGTGGAAGAGGTGGCGGAGGTAGAGGTGGTGGAAGACCTGGATCTAACGACAGATCAGGAGGAGCTATGAATGGTTACAGTTCCAGAAATTCATCAGCCGGCAGTGCCAGATACAAGAGCACTCAGTCATCTAGACAGCCACCACCTCCACCACCTTCTAACCAATCCTCAAGCCAAAACTGGAACCAAAACTCCAGYTATAACTATCAGAATACATACTCTGCACCCCCACCCCCTCCCCCACAGCAGGCACAGTACACTCAGGCCCCTCCCCCACTCCCACCACAGAGTTTGATGACACAACAACAACAGTATGGTCAGAGTTATCAGCAGAACTATACAAACTATCAAGCAACAGCACAGTCCAACACACAGCAATCATATGTATATAACACAACTACATGATAGAACTTTTTAATGGCAACTTATACAACTCGATTACTTTACGAAAATTATTTTAATTCATGCTATAGCCCGGAGTTATGGATTTTTTTTTTAATGATGAAAGTGATAGCACTAGATGAGTTTAGAATATCTGTAGTGCCCATCTATTAGACCACTTAACAATATGACTGCAACAGACTACCAGAACAAACTCAGTAATATGTGTTTCCTTGARTACAAATACTAAAGCCCAATGTTAAGTCATTTTGTGTTCGATATCTACCATATGCCAAGTGTAGARKAGAAACATTCCMACAAAAACAGGTTTGGTGACAGTTATTAACTAYCATTTTTTAGTCAATTAGCCATTTTTCTATTTTGYAATTTTGTGGAAGTCACCRTTATTGTATAGTTTAGTGTTCTTTGTTTTGTTCAAYTTGGCAGTATATTTCAGTCATTTTGCTTATTTACTTGCTAAACAAACAAGTTTACTATCAACTATTTAAGAGATATGGATTAAAAATAAAATGTTTGAAGACTAAGTCTTTGGTTGTTGATTAGGGTATCCTAAAGTCCAGGATTATTACAGTATTACTACACTAAACTTCATTGATAATGAAAATATCTGTGGCACTCTAGAAGAGGTAGGGCCACTGGATTGGATTGGCACAGTGAGTCAAACAATTGAGATAACTTTCTCTAGTAGCCAATCTYGAGGCCAGAAATATCTGTAACATAGCAGTCGTGATATGAAGCTCACTTTCACAAAGAATGTGAAACTGCTAGAGTTGCCCTTCTCAGTCAGTCAGCTCTTTTGTATTCATGGCAAAGAGAGAATCACTCCAAATAGACTTCTGAACCTTTTACGTCACTACTTTAGTTTCAAGTCATTGTGCGAAAACAAAAGAAATCCGCCATGTTCTGTCCCAAACATCCTACATTGCATTGTGGATACAGTACATGACGTAACAGCTTCAGAGGTCTATTAGTTTAAAAGAAATTTGCAGTCAGACCTAATCTGCTTCAACCCAATTCAAACCACACGGGAGTAAGTTTCATTGTTTAGTGTATTTTCATTTCACAGTTAAATTYTTAGAAACAAAAGTTCTTTTTCCCACTGGATTTGAATTGGGTGGCAGTGYACATAGCAACGCTGTTAGCCGATTAGGTCCATTGATCATACAGGTAATGTTTATTAGAAAATAGGGATTGGAAAYGCTTTTGGCCAGTTTCACCTGAGTGCATAGTCATGCACAAAAGAATGTCACAAGTGCAGTGAGAAACTTTATTATTAATAAAAATCTTCACATAAGTTTATATAAAATGTTATTATTGATTACTACATATAGTGGCCCTATTAATTAACCCATGAAAAAATACCAAAACTGAGTTTTCAATCTGCATTAAGGATGCTCATCAAGGAGTTATGAAAAGCTAATAAAGTTACCAAGGTAYTATTTTAATAAATCAAGTGTTACAGAATGTGATTTAAGTGGTTTCATGGGTTAAGTAATAATTACAATGAAACTTGCAAAGTTCATGTCTTGTTTCTTACTCTTGAAAATATGAAAATTGATTTCTAAAATCATTGAATTATATTTTATTAATATTATTAAAAATTAGTAATCAACTGATTTTCTTCAGTTCTCTAAGATATGGTGTTATCCATTCTGCAACAGCTACTGGTTTGCTGTCGTACTCCATGATAAATGGATGAGACTGAAAGAAAAACAGAATGATTAGTTATGATTGGGATCCCTGTTTTGAACAATRACACAGGGAACCCATGTAAAGGTATAATTATTATCTTACCAGTAATTGATTGTAGTTTGGGCGTTCTTTATAATCCTTTTTCAAACTTTAAACAAAATAATAACATAATATAAAAATAAAAAAATATAAATATAATATAAAATGCCATATAATCACAATGCTGCAAATTCACCAAGTGTTGGGGAATGTAGCCTGCAGAATGCAGAAATCTTACATACCATTGGGTAATAAAATCTCTAAATGCATCAGAGAACGGTCCATCAGGTAAAGTTGGAGACGGTTCATGAACAACCTGTTTTAGTTGTTCAAATGGTGTTTTCCATTGAGTGTAAGGAAACTTTCCTGTGCCAAGCTCAAACTAGAATAGAGGATAGAATTTTTATCAAATATGTACTATTTGTTATAAATCTTTGCATAAAAACAACAAAAATAATGTTCATTCTTACCATTGTAATTCCTAGACTCCATATATCAGACCTTATATCATATCCCTGCATGTTGCGATCTGGATTTATTCTTTCTGGCTAAACAATTTTCAAAAAAAAAAACTTTTGAAGAAATTTCTTCAGGCAAAGTGCCAAGTACTGCAGCAAAATCCCATCCCTATTCCTGGATCACCCAATCTTTAGCAAAACAGACTCTTATCYTTTGAGTTTTTGAGCCCATKWATCCTGAATTTCCTTTTAAATTCTCCCTTATCCAATCTATCACTGCAATAATACTTACTGCCATRTATGGTTTACATCCAGCATCAACAGTTTTAGCCAGAGAGTCAACCAATTGTCCACTAATCCCAAAGTCACATAATTTAAAATTTCCTCTTTCATCTGCTAAAATGTTGGATGGTTTTACATCTGTGAACATACAAAAATGTGATGATTATCTGAACAACTACTGGTTAAGCTATTGTTCATCTGATATAAATTTGTTATAATTTTGTCACTTAATTGGTTGAGAAAGCATGAAAATCTCTAATATTTTTCTGTACAGTACATTATGAAAGACAAACCTCTATGAATGACTTTAAGTTGACTGTGAAGGTAATCTAAYGCATGAGCAACCTAACGAAATCAATACCAATCAGAAATTCATTCATAACCCATCAAAATAAAAAACATGCTTACACTTTGGAAGAAAAGCTTCAGTTACTTGAGATGYATGCTTAGCAAAGAGTAGAGCAAAATTATGTTGTCTAAAGTCATAGCTTTCTTACTTACTGATACTACTATTTTACCAAGTACATCCTCTGGTATTCTATCATCTGGTTTTGAATATACKTGCTTGTATAAGTCATACAATGATGTCTTCATTAACTCCATACATATCCAAACATCTCCCTTTGATAAACATAGCAGTGATAATATAATTAAGTTATTAGACCATCAACCTTCTTGTCATCATCACKAATCAACTTTACATTTTATTATAACCAGATATGTGTCACAAGAGTTGCATTTGATATTTGGTCTTAGTAAACACTGTGTGCAACCTAAAGACTGCTTTCATTCAGACATAAACTCAATACAAAGAGAAATCTTTGGCTTTGGCTTTGACCAAATACTTCATCAGATACAAGAACCAGTTCTACATTAATGTGCTATTATTCTTCATATCATGCTAAAGATCAGCCGATATTTTTTTAWATCTTACCTCCCTAAAGAGAGCACCATAGAATTGCACTGTAAAAGGATAATCACTGACTCTCATTGAAATGTCAAGATCCATTAAAAGTCTTTTCTGTTCAGTAGAATTTACATTGGCTCTTATTCTCTACAAMATTGTAAAATAATCACTACTATTGCTGGAGGCTTAGCAACTTGAAAAAAAGATAAGAGTTTAGTAAAGTTATTATTATCATTATTAAAAGAAAGATGACACATTTATAATAAAGTACTACTAATTCAATTAATAACTCAGTAAAAAAATATTTGCTTATTCTGTAAAGGCAGGATTTTAGTTTATAGAAACTCCTGCCTCAGTTGGGACAGGTAAGGATTGATCTACAATCTCTCACTAGTCAGACAAAAACCTTTAACCGTTATCTACTGAAGCTTTACATTGACATATACCTTGACAGCCATGACTGTGTCAGTTGGTTCGTGGATCATTTTGTAAACATATCCATAGGCTCCATGACCAAGCTCTTCTATTTCACGTAGTTCACCAGCATTACAGTTAAATTCCTATCACAATTGATTTTATATAAAAGAATTGTTTTTCTTAGAAGCATTAGATATGCATCTATCACTCTGTCATACTTTTAGAAGCAGCTGACATACTTATTGATAGAACATAATCAATGCACAATGATATGAAATGAGAACGTAATCATTTCCATTTAGTGCTTGAGTTATCAAGCTACAGCAGTAACATTATATTTTTACACCTTTATACCTAATAGTCTCTGTCACGGTTACCTGCGCCATCTTGAAAGGTAGCTGTTCCTTGTCATCAAAGCGAGACAACCGTTGAGCGTGCAATGATAGAAACCTTCTTTCACACCTACAGACAATTATTCACAGGTATATCTATCATTGCACGCTCAACGGTCGTCTCGCTTCGATGCAAAGGCACGGCTACCTTTCAAGATGGCGCAGGTATCCATAAAGGAGACTATTGAAGAAAACACTGTCTCACAGGGTCAAAGACCAAAGTGAATTTTTTTATTAATTGTAGTAAATTTGAATTATATTTTCCTAGAAGTGAACATTATTAACATTTCTCATGATAGTGCATTGTCGTGTTTAGTAACTGAAACATTATTAGACACATARTAGTATGACAATTACTTGCTTCCCATGCGTCCCTTTGGTCTTACATTTGACAATGTCACCTTTGAGAACCTGACACTTTTTCAATCAGCTGTATATCAATAATCAACTAACCTGCCCATTAACTGTGATTGTTGCTTTGTCTGAGAGATTTCTGGGAGGTGCAGCACTGTTGAGGGATATCAATTGTCAGATTAGCAGAGAGTTTCGCTATGATTTAATTGTTCTTATGAMACTAGACACTCAAAGAGTACTCATGSCGTGTACTTACGGTGGAACAGGTGTTGATGCTTTTGCATCAGCAACATCAGCAAATGGTTTTAATTTTGGTGGTTTCTTTTTAACTTTCTGACCTGAGAATTCATCAATATGACTTGGTTTAATTGTGATATGAATAAGTCAKAAATCTTTTAAATTTTTTCCTCCTCTTTTCAGTAGACAAGTGTCAATCAATTCCCATGACTATTCCTGAATCAACCTAGAGCCATTCTCTTAATCACATAACGGTGTGAGGTCAAATTCTAYTCAGTGATATTTAACAGGAAAACAAGACATTGAAAAACAATTCAATAAATATTGTGTTAATTAAACTTRCCATTATGAACAAATTATTTTTCTAAATGTTTACAAATCCAGCTGCTTTTCATCAACTACTTCTTGTRGTATTTTGTAGTTTTAGTAATATAATTCAAGCAAGGTGAAAAACATTTAAACTTTTGCACTTTTCCCAGGTTGTTGCAGCTCGAAACAATAAACAACGTTCAACTGACATATGCTGACATTTAGCTTTTCACTTTCGAATTTGGAACGCAAATTAAACATACAAAAACTGTCCATATATGTATCATTGCTAAGAATGTGTTTAAGTAAACAATCACTAACCTGGAGAATTCGACATTCTGTTCCAGCAAAGCAAAGCAAAAAGTTTTGGGAAGAATTAAAATGTTTTCCTGGTTTGGAAGTACAAAGTCTCGACTCAACCTGTAAGTTCTTACAATTTTGCAGAGTCCAAGAAGGCTCAAAGCGGAAATAATGAACTGCTATGCAACACTATTAATCAAKACGGCGATCAATTACGTAAAATCTATAATTTTCCGCCACTTTTTGACCATTCTATTTGACAAATTGTCGAATCAGATTCAGTTCCTTCTATAAAGTCATCGCCAAAAATGGCACCGCGCCTGCGACTCGAAYTGATCAGCGGTTTTATTTAGAACCCAGTTTTCGTCAGTCCACACTAAAACTGATGAATTATGCAGGCSACAATCAAAATATGACAGGAGCAATGCTATCTGAATGTTACGACTTCAATCCAAGGTCACATTCATCAAGAATTGGAATAGGAGAGGAGAATCAGGGAGTACCATAGGCTATAACCAAATGAGATGTCCAGATACAACAATCTCACCCTCACAGACCATTYCCTCTTTACCCATGCATGAGGTGGATAGGCTCCAATATCCATGCCATACATGTGTAAAGCGTCAAAGTCTCTAGGAACGAGATTGAATATACATAGAAAAACATATCTTGTAAAACTAAATCATTTCTTATGAATTGTATTAAATACTTTATCTTTATTCCTCTACACTCCTTTAGAAGTAAATCACACCATCAACAAACAAGAATACTCAGCTCAAATACTTTTATTTTGAAGTTAAATTCAAACATGTATTATGTGCACAGCACAATTATTAAACACAATCTAGTATTCATCATAATCTTCAGCATCTTCTCCNGACAATCTGTTATAACTGCCTGTAAATAATCAATGCCATCATTCAGTTTTTTGCTGTACATACCAATTTTCGTATTCTATCAAGTACTAAATCAATGAGACTTTTCCCAATAGTATAATGACCTCGGGCATAATTATTGGCTGCATCTTCTTTGCCTGTGACCAATTGTTCTGGATGGAATAGTTGACGGTAGGTTCCAGTTCTCACCTCATCTACAAAATAACCATTGTTTTTTTTATTGCACACCCATCTATAATACATAGAACATCCAAATTTCYTAATTTAATAAATATGGAATTGTATTTTAAAATGTATTATAAAGCCAAAAAAAAAAATTAAACTTAAAATGTTACAAGAAGCAAAACTCATTCTTCTGCATCAAAAATTGAATATAAAAATAACATTWTTATTATTGTGGATTTCCTCAAGCCACGAAGAGCGAATCTTTTTCTGTTTTGCTAGGAACCACTTGCCTTTTGTTTTGACAAAAAACATGAGCCATTTCGCTATGGCAATAGATAAATAAAACAAAYGTGCTCTCGWCGCCGCCCATTCATTCATTTGTTTCAAATGCGATTTTGCGCAATAGCTGCCATCGCCTTTTCAATGAGCAAAATTGAAACCCAAAAGTACTGAAAATATCGGTGAAATTACGGGAATCATTAAATTAWATTAAACAGAATAATGTCGAGCCTTTTGAATTGAATACTCTTTAATTTAAAGAACAATAGACAACAATTGATTTTCTATTTGACTATTGTAAGCAATGACAAGTATTTTTTCTGGTACCGGGGGAAAGGCGTTCTCACCGACTACACTTGGCTCCAGATCGACGAAAACAGCTCTAGGAACATGTTTTCCTGCGCCAGTTTCACTGAAAAATGTGTTGAACGAGTCATCACCGCCTCCGATCGTCTTGTCACTGGGCATTTGACCATCAGGCTGAATTCCATGTTCAAGGCAGTACAACTCCCAACAAGCATTACCAATCTGGACACCGGCTTGCCCAACGTGGACTGAAATACACTCGCGCTAGGATAGAAGAAAATGAAAAAGGAATACAATTTCGAAATATTTTTGACAACTGAGAAAATGCGTATCACATGTATGAACTAATCTGTTGTGTCATTCATTTTTCTCAAACCAGCGTAAAATTGTACACGAAATGTACAATGATGGATATACTTTTCATTGATTTCTTTCGAATCAAAAGCCTTATGTAAAACTCACCATGATTGACGAAAGTTGGTCGGTTTGACAAAGTAAAAGTGAAGTGTCTTCGTCGAAGGCAACCGAGTAAAGGCACTTTCAATAACCTGGGTGATATAAGGGTGGATGCTGCTTCTTAGTGATTGGCTCGTTACAATGAACGATTGACACCTGTTCTCTGACACAGAGAACCCAARCAAAACTTTCTGATATGATAAAATTCTCTTGAGAGAGCCTGCTTGAGAGTTGGCTGTAAAAATTCACAAACAACTTTGTTTTGTTTGCATTTTAGCTCTTTCATTTTGTGTCATTCGCACATGCTTTATCCAAGTAAAGGCTATTCATAAGCTAAAAGCTACAATTGTAGATTCAAGCTAAAAAGGTACAATCATCAACAATAGTCTTCAATATTCTTCATTGACTTTATCCTTCTTGAATCCAGATCATCTCTCATTATTTAGGTTCACTTCTTCATGGAAAGTATAAAAAGAATTAAAGAATTATGATCGACTACCGTACCCCCACCCCCAGGATCCTAGTTTTGACCTGTTTCCCAGTCCGCCAGGCCAGGTTAATAAGGGTTCTGAGACATAAAAACAACTACAGAGAGCAAAACATGGRGAACGAATCGATGGAATTAAATTTGGAAGCGGCTATGGACAGCTCTTTAGAAGAGCAGAGTCCCGKAACTTCGTCTATATATTCAATGCCTTCACATTGCTCAAGAATTCTACAAACTATGAACAAACACCGGAAAGAAAGTTTGAAACTCTGCGACGTTATCCTACGCATTGGAGACACTCATATTCCATCTCATAAAGCCGTTCTTGCTTCATGTAGTTCGTATTTCTTCGCYATGTTCAACGGGGAACTCTCAGAAAGTCGACAAAAGATAGTTACYATGAAGGACATTGAGCCAGTAGTGATGGAAGCTCTTGTAGAATTTGGTTACACCGGCAACATTGAAATTACAGTTGAGAATGTACAACTGTTGTTGTCGACTGCTTCATTGGTTCAGTTTCATGAAGTTCGTGATTTATGTTGTCAATTTTTGGAAAGCCAACTTGACCCTTCTAATTGCTTAGGAATCAGAAAATTTACCGAAGCACACGGTTGTATGAAATTTTTAGAAACTGTCGATAAATACGTCTTAGAAAATTTYAAAAGTGTATTAAAATCGGAAGAATATGCATTATTACCGATTGAACTCTTGGTAAAAGTGATTTCAAGTGATGATCTCAACGTGCTTCACGAAGAAGAAGTTTACGAAGCAGTTATGACATGGATACGACATGACTTGAACACCAGGGTAAGCAARTTACCATCTCTTATTCGGTTCGTCCGTATGCCTTTGATATCCAAGCATTATCTCCTGAATCGAATAGACTCGGATAGTTTAGTACGCGCCAACTTGACGTGCCGGGATATGCTAGATGAGGCAAAAAACTACCATCTCCTACCCGAGCAGAGGGCTAGATTTCGATCAGATCGAATGAGGCCTAGGAAAGCAATGGTTGGTACTTTATTTGCTGTTGGTGGGAAAGAGGCTGGAGAAACCATATCAAATACAATGGAAAGCTACAAGTAAGCCACAACGTTTGTTTTCAATGGCATTCAGATACTAGTAGATTGTAGGTCATGTATATCACTACATTTGACAACTTTTGTAAACTTGCCATATGTCAAGTCATATTAAATGTTTTTGACGTCGTATTAAAACTGGGATGGGGATTCAGAAAAGTTCTTATAAACTCTCGACCCCAAATTTAGCAGAAAGCCATTTGAATGCAAATTTACGAGACAAAAATCAATGTTAACTAACGTTTATCTCTTTAAACATCATTCTTCATGAGAAAGACCTTTGTATTCTTTTTGTTTTAATCTCAAACGGAAACAGGAAATTACAGYGTCCCGCCATTTGCTAGCCAAGAGTTTCAAGAGCACCCTTCCTTTTCCGTTATAGACTATTTGGTTTACCAAGACTTTAATAAGTCTTTTGTTTTTTTTTTTTTAAGCGTTAATCAGGTGTAATTTTTGAATTTTTTTAAAATATCAACCATATCAAAGCTTATATCAACAGTTGTTTTCAGTATTGGAATTCACAAAACATTGGTATATTCTTAACAATGATAGCTGTATGTTTTTTAGTCTTCAGTCCAACATATGGCAGGAGTCAGCATCTCTCAATGTACCTCGTCAACAGCTAGGTGTGGCAAGTATCTGTAAAAGACTGTATGCTGTGGGTGGCTCTGATGGTTTTACACGCTTAAGTTCAGTTGAGGTTTTCAACCCAGAAACCAACAAGTGGACATATGTCAAGCCTCTGAATACCAGYAGATCTGGTGTTGGACTAGGAGTTATTTGTGACACTCTCTATGCACTGGGTGGTTATGATGGCAGGTCATGCTTGAAAACAGTTGARAGATATGATCCRCAGGTTGACTCATGGAGCATTGTTGCTTCAATTAATGTAACAAGAAGTTTTCCAGGTAATGGGCTGAACAATTCTTTAACTCTAATTATTAATGACTAAAAATATTTCATGATAGTGATATTGATCACAGGAGTTAGCCAAAGTGWGTGCAAGTCAAAGGTTTAAAGAGAGGCAGAGAAAAAAATTGTTATGGAACTTAGAATTATGATCAAATTGCATCTTTTCTTAGCCAGCACWAGACTCTTTTATACTGTCTGGTCTAATTGCCATTTGTTTGAAACTCTTTACAGGTGTTGCAGAAGTAGGAGGTCGTCTTTTTGTTATYGGAGGAAATGATGGTGTGTCATTTCTGAATTCTGTGGAATGCTATGACCCTTTAAGTAACAAATGGATGCAAGTGCCTCCCCTGAGTCGTGCTCGGGCAGGAATTGGTGCTGCAGCTCTTGATGGAACACTCTTTGCTGTTGGGGGTTTTGATGGAATGCAAAGACTTGACATTGTTGAGATGTATGAGTCACGTATGAACAGTTGGACTGAAGTGTCATCTCTTCAATCATGTCGTGATGGTGTTTGTGTCACAACCTATGGATGCTGGATTTATGCTGTAGGGGGTATTGATGGGCCTTCTTATTTAAATACTGTGGAAGCATACGATCCCAAGACTGATAAATGGGAAGAAATGCCACCAATGTCAAAGTGYAGGGCTGCAGCTGGCGTGGCAGTCCTACTTCCTCATTCTTAATAGGATATAGTTATTTTTAAAAGGCTTTAAGAGCTTTGAGAATGCAGGTTGTTTTAGAGAAACATTTTTACCAATGTTTTATTAATGCACACCATAGAATGTGGGGCAGACAGGGGGATAGCTGGGMTTCAAATCACTTTTGGACAAAAATTTTATTTGTCCCCACAAGGTGGGATATTTTAATTGAAAATTTGATGTTCTCATATCTAGATACYCCTTGCACCCAATCAGAGGCTCTGGGATAACCTGTAATTTCAAGCCATATTTTCTGGTTTTAAAAATCCCACTAGAATAAAAATAATTGGGTATTTTCTTGTAGATAGTGTTATTGATTTCCTGTTAATCATTCTTTACCTACATCAACCTTTGGCGCAAAAAAATATTGAGACAGGTCTCAAATAAATTTTTTCCTGACATCTGTCATTCATTTGATCCSCCAGACTTCCAAACCCAATAGAATTCCAGAGATGAACAAGGGGAACATATTTTTTTGGGAAGCTAGCTGTCACATTTAATAGTTCTTCTTCTAATTTTCACAGTAGAGTATGAGAATTTTCAACAGAGTATCTGGCTCACAGTTTTCAGATTTTGACTCCGTTTGACTAGAGCTGAGTTCAAAGTCCCTACTCTACCTCTGGTTCCAAGASAGTGGGTGGYGAGAGGKGGGWGGGGGCTCAATTGRATAGTGCTCAAATGAGGATCATTGATGTTCTGTACAAATACTAAGTTAACAAAGAAAAACATTATATGGAGAAATCAAGCAGATTATCCTATTTACCATGTAAATTATCTTTCTTATGAGGTACCACACAAACTAGTGGCATTTTGTTGTGTTCCAATTGTTGTATTTAATATCATTGCATTTCATCTCACATCCTCTTCATGATTTCTTGAGGTGGCTGTATTTCAGTCATTGAGTCTAGCAAGAGGTCATGCATTTTTCTTTTTATAATTAACGTTTAAAATATGCTTGTGTATTTAATCTGGGCAACAATTCTATATAGCAAGCATAATACAATAATTAAGTACTCGAAAACCTTGTCTAAACCTCACATRAAAAGGTGCATGCCATACCTTGTATAACCCCCACTGCACAGTGATTAATATCTTAACATTAATTGGAAAACAAAGACCCAAGATCCAAATCCATTTATTTTCGACTGTTTCCCTTCAATAAACATGCAAAAACACAATACTAAAGAAAATGYCTAGTAYTCTTCTCCTTCCTCTTCGCCTTCCTCCTCCGCAGAGTCAACACCAACTTCTTCGTAATCTTTCTCAAGAGCAGCCAAATCCTCACGAGCCTCAGAGAACTCTCCTTCCTCCATACCCTCTCCAACATACCAGTG